GTCCCATAATGCTAAACACACCATACCTAACATGCTACCTAACACATAGCTAACACACTGTCCCATATTACCTAACACATCATACTTAACACTGTACAATATATCATACTGTCCCCATATTACCCATATGTCTCATATACCTCCTGTATACAACTCTTCATGAGAATGGCTAATTGTATCGTTCAAGGCTTAGAACACATTTTCCCTTATGATTGATGTCTGAACACACTTTACCTTGACTAACTGAAGAAATGAAATGGTGTAATATACAACGAACCATAAGACATGCAGCTCATTAACTGTTTTACTTTTAGTAACTTGCAATGCTCTTAGTAATTTATTTCTTCAAGAAGAGTCATCTAATTATCAGAACCATCAAAATGTCCATCTGTCTTAAATTCTGTTTGATCTCCTTCGAACATTTACACTGTGATATCCTTGTAATTGGAGACAGTTGTTTCTCTGGACACAAACCCACTGGCTCCACACTAATATTGCAATAACATGTATGGCTCATCAAATGTATACTTTTTGCAGCTTATAAAGTAACTGTTTAGTTTTTATATATAATTAAATAATTCAATAGAATGGGTTGTCTTTTGATGACATTAACTGCTGTTATGTTTTCTCTAGACATTATAGAGCTTTAGTACAGCTGGTTGTACTGTGGTTATATACTGCACCATTCAACAGCGTGGTATTGATCTGCCCTGTCATTAAAGGCCATCAGTAAGAGGGAAAAAGCAATGCAGTGGTTCTCCATCACAGAGAATGACAGAAGCTTCTTGTTGGCCAAGGGTGTGACCGGAGCCCAGTATTGTGTCACTTTAAAAAAAACACAAGCACATTTACCCTGGATACACTCTGCAAGCATCACTGGGAATGATTTTGGATCATGGATTGAAGTTTTCTGTGTTTGGGCTACATGATATGGACAAAATATACCATAATGCTACATATTGTGATTGTAATACACCAAGTAGTATATTAAAAACACTTCGTGGCATCATTCAGTGACTGGCTAAAGCTCATTTGCATCCCTGCTAGAAAAACAAGCACAGTAGACCAGCATAACAGCATGTGTTGTGTTTTGGATGCTGGTATGCTAGTCAACCAGCATGACCATGCGGAGAGACCAGCACTAGACCAGCGTAGATGAGCATGGAATTCATGCTGTTTTGTGCTGTTTTTGTTCAGCAGCGATATTGCAGATATTGCAGATATATAGATATCCCAGTACTGTGAAGCATGAGAAGTGTCAGGGTGGGCTTACAGGGCTCCTGAATGGTTCTAGCAAAGCCCATCTATTCATCAGTGATGTCCTTTTTACTCCTTCAGAGCTGCTTCTCACTCACTGCACTCCAGCCCCCTTACAGTGTGTGAGTTGGTAGTTAAAAGTTGGCTTCTGATTTGCTAGCTTCTTGTTTTTCCGTTCCACCTTAAATTATGCATCAGGCGTATTCTGGAGGACTTGCACCTTGGGGCAAACTACTGCCCCACTTAAGATGGAACATAAAGTGTGAATAAGAAGCTGGTGAGAAGCCAACTCGTTGGTAACGTTAATGTACGCTGATATCATGGACATGAACTAGGCATTTGAAAAAAGTCAATCCTCATAGTGTCAGAGCTGTTTCAGACATGTGTAGCTTTAGAATGATAGCTGTATTTGTAGTAATAGAGCTAGAACTGCTTAATGTAAAAATAATAATTAGGTCGGCTTGCTAACCAGCTAGCAAACTAACGACAGTAGCTGACGCTGTAAAAAGCTGACACGACATTCTTGCAGGGTCAACTTCTCACATATAGAATTGTAAATGTTAATAGTTCACATTGAAAAAACTTGACACCATACAAATAGTTATTCCACTACACTCCATGTTTAGCCTAGCAACCTGTAATTAAGTCAGCGTTTAGTAGGTGTACCAGATAAAATGGCCATTTGGAGATACATTGAAAATGGCCATTCCGTACCTTTTCACTCAGTGTCTTGCTATTGTATATTACTTTACTTTGTCAACGTTATTAAGAAACATGCGTGCCTTAATTTGCCACAGACATAACTGAGAAGTCTGAAGTGTATCTAGACTAACCATGATAGCTAAAGGTAGAAAAGATGTTTGTCTGTTCTCAGTGTTATCGTGACAAGCCAACATGTTAAATCATTCACTAAGCAGCTCTTGCATTAGCTGTTGTACTCACAGTGGCTAAAACCCTTCACTTTGGCATGAATGAAGCAGTGTATTTACTAAGAAAGCTCCTCTGTCTGCTTCTTTGTGCTACTTTAGTTGTACAGCCCTGTTGGATAGATGACAAAGTAAAGTTACAGCAGTTCTCAGAGTAAGAAAATCATTCTCAGTGGTCGGCATTCAGAGAGTAAACAGTATGTAAAGAAGTTAATCAAGTGGTCTTTTTTGCTTCCATGTCAACTAGCTAAATTCTTTCCACAGGATAACATCTTCCTCTCCAGGCTAACTAAACACAGCATGTTTAGCCGTACTGCTACACAGGAGAGCGTCAACTTCTATGCAGGTTTAGTCGTTTGTGCACTGCGAGTTTAAGCTTAATGCATTCACTTTTGACAGGGTCGGCTATTTTATTTACACCAGCAAAGATCATACAGACACCCATTGTTAGCCAGCTAGCTAATGTGTAAGACAGTCACCTACTGAAAGCAAACAGGAATTCTGTGCTGGTATTACCTGGTTTATGCTGGTTTATGTTGGTCTGGTGCTAGTTTATGAGGTGTTTTGGAAGTTGCAACTTTTGAAACACCTCATATGCTGGTTTTGCTGGTGATTAGCATATTAACTTCCATTACTGCTGCCCAGCCTACCAACATCCAAAACACAACATATGCTGTGGTTTTTAATGTTTTTCTGTAGTATGAGTAGTCATGCTGTTTTTTCTAGCAGGGTCATTCTCTGAGTGACTATAACGCATACAGTACTACAAGAATATTATATGGCGGTGAATGTATTTTAGAACATTACAGAAAAATGATACAGCACAGTGCTACAGAAATCATACTGTTATAAAATGAACTGTAGTAGTGCCCTAAAGAACAGCAAGAATTCTGTATTTCTGTATCTGTGTGTCAATTCAGGCACTATACTCTTATTATACACACCGGGTAATTCACTCTCTAAAGCCTGGCGTGTTGTAGAGCTTTCTCTGATAGCCCCACCCCTTCCTCTACATATAGTCTTGTGCAAAAGTTTGGGCAACCGTGGTGAAATTATATGTTCTGTTGTTTTGAACACATCCTGTACAGGAGACTGTATGCATATTTTAATGTACAATTATAGTTTATTTGCTAAATAAATCATAAAATTCGCCTTGTGCAAAATATTAGGCCTTCTACAAAAGATGGCAAAGTTTTATGCCACCTTTTGTAATGTACTTGTGTGGCTAAATATGTTACATTCAGCAAATAAATAGAAATTGTGCACTAAAATGTGCAGATGTTTGTTTCCTACATGTTTGTTTCCTGAAAGGGATGTGTTAACTAATTCTCACTTAGACAATCCACATATCATTTGACCAGAGGTGCCCAAATTTTGCATAAGACTGTGTGTCTAGTATGTACATCCTACCAGGGAACCCACTATTTGCATTATATGGGGCTAGAACTCTATAGAAATACTTCATTAGAGACACATTAATGTTATATGATGATCCAATGACATATTATAAATCCCTTCTGTGTGCTTTCTTGTATAGGTGTCCTTCTGAACGCAACAGGAAGGCGAAGGCAGATTCTCCTGCATCACTTCTCCACAAATTCCTTGTCGAGTTTGCTGCCAGCCATCAGTCGCCACCACTGCGCTGGCCGTGTAACTATGGTTACTGCATCCTAGACACTGACGCCTTGCTGCATTCTTAGCATGTCTTTGGAGGCAATGGAAATCAGTACGAGCTTTCAGAAGGGTGTGTCAGGTTTATAGAGTAAAATAAATGTCATTATTTCTTGTTCAGTATTTAAAAAATACCCCAAATCTGTCACAGGTAAAAAAAAAACAAGAAATGTTGTTCAGAATGATTTTCAGAATATATGCTGTAATGTGCATATTGAATAGTTCACAAGCAGTGTACCAGGATTAATAGTAGATTGCACCCATTTGCATGAATCACATTAAGTGAATGCAATTATATTACATTTCCTCTAAGGCTGCCTACTGCATTACTCACCTAAATGCCTATGCGCACTGCTTTTATACTAATTTGCATTACTGTGATAATGAAATCATTCATTCAGTCAAAAGTGATGTGTTTTGCTTGCACACATTCACAACATGTTTAGCGGAGATGAATGTCCAGCACTTTGGAAGATGACGGACTCAGCAACTGAAGACATGGTCACTTTTCTGGTCATGTTGCTGACTTGTTGCTGTGATCACTGGTTTGCACTGGTAGAGAAGTAACTTAACCCCCAGCCTAGCTCTACAGTTTCACATTCAAATGAACTGCTTAAGACAGTTATAGATAGATATATAGATAAAAAGAAAGAGAGACATACACTTACATAGACAGAGATATGGTTGGATAGATGGATGGACAGATACACTGAATGGATAGATAAACAGACAGACTGGCACATGGATGGATGGATGGATGGATGAATGGAAGAATGGATGGATAAATGCATGGAGGGATGGATGGACACAGGATAGATACACAGACAGACTGACACACAGATGGATGGATGGATGGATGAGGGAATGAATGGATAAATGGAAGGATGGAAGAATGGATGGATAAATGGAAGGATGGATGGGTACAAAGCATAGACAGATAGATAGACAGACAGACCGGCACACAGATAAATAGATGGATGGATGGATGGATGGATGGATAGACAGACAGAGTTGGATGCAGACACACAGAAAGAGACAGGCAGATGGAAGGTAAGCAGACAGACTGCCAGACAGATACATGGATGATCAGGGACACACAGACAGACAGTCAGACAGACAGTTGTTTAACCCCTTCCTCCTCCTCACCGTGTCTTTGATGTTCTGCAGCAGCTCCTTGCCTGCACTCCTTCGGATCTCCACCCTGCGGCCCTGAGCATCTCTCTGCCGTTCGATGACCCGCCCGGAGTCTGTCGGCCGCACGCTCTGCTCCGCCTCGGACTGCAGTGGACACAACAAACCACAGAACCGGCCAGAGCCAGGACTGGACACGGCTCCAGAGGGCAGGGACATGGTGAAGGCCAACAGGTGGAGGCAGAGGGACTACTGCAGCAAGACTGAGGAGCAAAACAGAATGTACAGTCGGAATAATAATAATGATAATATATTATATTATATTATATTATATTATATTTATTAAGACTGAGGTACATATACAGAGGTAAAAATAGTTCTAAATAATAAGGATAAGAATATTCAATAATAGCTAAGAAGCAGAATTAAACGTACAGTTGGCACGAATTACTAGGAATAATGATTATTATTACTGTAACAGTGGATGAAAGAGTTTTAAGATTATATGCATTAGCAGTGCACGCTCTCTATTGGGTTTCTCACTGATGTAAAGCTGGACAGAGCGCTGCTGTGTTAATCTGCTGGACGCCACTAAAGCAGAGCAGCCTGTGCGAATCAGACACCCGCGAGCTCTACATGAAGCCGGTATCAGCTCTGTGCGGATGAGGAGACGGAATGGCTGAAGCACACACGCCCAAAGCAAACAGCAAAGTGAAGCAGACTGAGATGAGGAACGAAGAGAAAGCAGCGCGTTACCGTGCACAGGAGCGCTGGGCGCGAGGGTGAGGATGGTGAAGATGGTGAGGAAGATGAGGAGGAGCTCGAGACTGCTGGACAGAGCTCGAAGCAGCGGGGCTTGGCCGGAAGTGACGCGCAGTGAGAGGCTCACAAAAGCAATTAATCCATAACTAAGAGTCCATTAGTTGCGCGCGAAGCTTCGACGTCCTCTTTTTTCACAGCAGAACCTCAGAGGTTTGGGGTGCACGAGCCTCACCAACGCCCCTACAGCTGCAGCTCGAGCGCTGAAACTCTCCCACCACTCTCTCTCTCACTCACGCCTCCACCTCCAGCTGAGATGCGGGAGCCTCATTGCTCTCGTGGCCACGCCCAGGCCAGGCGCTGTCCCTTCAGCACCGCGCGCCCACTGCAGTCTGCTTCTGTGGCGCGCGAGAGGGTTCACTGAGTTTACTCAAAGGAGAATTCAGCACACTTAGAAAAGAAGGTTCTTTAGTGGAGGAAGTGGTTCTGTTTAGAACTATGGGTTCTAGATAGAAACATCTAACGCTTAAATGGTTCTTTGCATGGTGTAATGGTTCTTCAGATTGATGGAGAATGTGTTGTTCGTGATCCTATTTGGCACCAAAATGGGCTCTTTTGTTTTTACAATGTCAAGAATTCCTGAAGAACCTTTTTTAAGCATGTACACCATTATCAACCATCACAGTTAATATTGGGAAGGGCTGCTTAAACATTCTCTGCCCTGTGATGGACTGGCAACCTGTCCAGGGTTTCCTGCCTTCCACCCAATGACCACTGGGATGACCAATGACCAGCTTGCACCATTTCATCATACCTCCATAATGTTTATTGAGGCTTGCAAAGGAACATCTTCCCATTGCCAGCTGCATCGTCCACAGTGGACCCATCAGTGGAGAGAGACCACCACAGGACCACCAGAGGCCAGGTGGTGCACCATTCTCAGCACATCACTGCCACTGCTAGGTTGAGAGTGGTCCACCACCCAAACAATATCCAGCCAAGACTGGATCTGTGGTCAGAAACTGACCATTGATTAAGGGCTAATATCGGATGGCTAACGCAAATTGTGCACCAGCAGATGAGCTACAGTCTCTAACTGTATGCCAGCAAAGTTGAGCTACTGTACAAGGGAGGCCTTTCTGTGCTTAATACCATGACCATGTCACTGTCTCCTGTGCTGAGAATGGTCCACCACCCAAATAATTTAGGGTCAACAGTGGTCCTGTGATCAGAAGCTGACCAACAATGAATGGGGGAAAGGGGTACTGACAGGCTACAGTCTGTAGTTATGCACCTATTGAACTTATAAGGTTGGTGGAACTGTCTGACAGAGAGACATACGGTACCATGCAAAAGTCACAGACCACCAGACAAAATGGCCATTAAGTACAAGCTGTTAATTTTTCAGGGTCAGAAAACAAACATATTTCAACAACTAAATACACCCATATGGAAAAAAAATATATTCCAAATGTATTTATTAAATATATTTTTGCAATTTTAGGGTAATATCCTGTCTTTCCCTGTTTTATCTTTCCTCATTTCTGTCTGTCTGCCTTATCTTTATCTTCCCTTCATCTTGTTCCATGTGCAAATTATGTTTTGGTCTGTCTCCTCCCCAGTCATCTGTCCCACCTGTGTGTTGTCTGTAGCCCCGCCCTCTCATTAGCCCCAGGGGTTTCTCATGTGTTTTTTGTCTGTTTATTCCCCTTGGCTTGGTCTGTTCCTTGCTTGGAGTTGTTTGTTGTGTGTTTTGCTGTTTCATAGTTCGAGCAGTTATTCCTATCTATTTTGTTCTCTGTTCTTTCCCTTTGGTGGTTCTTATAATTTCTTTAGTACTTCCTTCATTTTGCTTTTCTTTTGTTTCTAGTTTTTCTTTGCTACCTTCTCCAAAGACAATAATAAAACAGCTAGCTCACAATTGCATCCTGCCCTCTCGTCTCCTTCGGCTTCCAACATGTTACAGTATGAAAATGGTCAAAAATGTATCTGTTAAATATATTTTTAAAATGCATTTATTTGTATTTGTTAATATATGTTTTTTGATTGTATGCAGTGTTAACAAAGGTTACGGGTATAACTAAATATAGCTGAATTGAATTAATTATACAGGCTCCTGTGTTTTGCACTGCACTTTGCATTAACTGTTGTGTGTATGTGGTATGACACTCACACAAAATGTATTTCAAGTAAACAAGATATCAAATCTTCAAAGTGCATTTTCCTAGAGTATCAATACCTGAAACACTGGTTCTTGCCATATTAAAGGTTCATTTGCTAATAGATAAAATTAAGATACTGGAATACAGATTAATTTCAAAAGGTATCCAAACAGTAAAGTGCACAAGACAGTATTTTGGCTATTTTCATACATTTTCAAATATATTTGATAATAGCATTTACATACATTTAAATCAAATCAAATCAAATCAAATCAGATTTATTGTCACATCACAAGAGTACAGGGACACAGGTGAGTGAAAAACTTGAGTGCGAGTTCCACAAATTATGCAGAGAACAGTATTTACACATAGATAAACAAAACTATAGATAGGATAGAAGAATAGATAAAACCAATTGAACTAAAATATATACATATAATCTTACACAATAACTTAAAAATAATAATATTGCACCGAGACATATAATATTGCACTGGGAATGTAGAGTGAGTGTAATCAACTATATACTATATATAGTAATGGATATTACAATGCTATGTAGATGTGCAAGTAATCACACTAGGTGTGGAGGTAGAAGATGGTACAGTAGGTGGCAGAGTATTTAGTAAAGTGCAAGGTACAGGAAGTTAAGTGGAAGCGCAGGGGGAGAGTATTGTCTTTGGATAGGTATTCAAAGTCCAGCTATGCAAGTAAAGTGCGGGAGTACAGTGGGTGCACGTACGTGTAATGGGAAGGGTTGGGCTGGGCAGAGCAGTGATTACTGGCTGTTCAATAGCCTGGTTGCATGGGGGAAGAAGCTGTCTTTGAGCCGACTGGTTCTGGCTTTTAAGCTTCTGAGCCTCCTACCACTCGGCAGCTGAGAGAACAGACAGTGACTAGGATGGGAGGGGTCCTTCATAATCCTTCTGGATTTCCTCAGGCAGCGACTGGTGTATAAATCCAATAGGTTAGGGAGCTGAACCCCGGTGATGGACTGTGCTGTCCGCACCACCCTCTGCAGAGATTTCCTCTCACGAACAGTACAGTTCCCGTACCAGGTGGTGATGCTGCCCGTCAGGATGCTTTCCACAGTGCAGGTGTAGAAGGTCTTAAGGATGCTGGGGTTCAGGCCAAACCTCCTCAGCCTTCTGAGGAAGTAGAGGCGCTGGTGGGCCTTCTTCACCACCTGTGAGGTGTGCACTGCCCATGTCAGGTCCTCGCTGATGTGAACACCGAGAAACTTAAAGCTGCTGACCCTCTCTACCGCAGTCCCATTGATGGAAATCGATGGGTGTACTGTCTCCTGCTTCCTGAAGTCCACGATCAGCTCCTTGGTCTTACTGACGTTTAGAGAGAGGTTATTCTCCTCTTTATTTTTGTATGGTACATTTCTATGTGTAATATTTCCCCATACATTTTAGAACAAATATATTTTATGTATGTCTAATGATAAAAGTGACCCTACAACTATTATTATTTCTGTTTTATTATTGTTATTAGTCACTTAGGAATGTCAGGAGTAAAAGGCCTTAAAATCTTCACTCTATACTACATAAAGTTGTAGTTTTCTTGAAGCACTATAGGCTAAAACTCACAAACATCTACCATAACACAAGTTTCTAGTGTATGTCTGTCTGTAAGCATTTATTCATTCATTTTGTTGCAGTGTTGCTGAATGTTGTTAAGCTATGATACTATAACAAAATCCCCAGATCAGATCTTTGCACAGTTCAAAGTCTGAAAGACACACAAGGACCATTTTGTTTTCATTGTGAAAGCGACCCCACCATAACTGTTGGATTCTAAGTCCAGTTTCCATAACAACGCTGCGTCCGGCTGCCTCGCCCCTCAGAGGCTTTGTGCTGCAGAAGATTCAGAGTGAAGAATTAAAGTTTAAATAACAAAGGTTTTATTTCACACTAGCATCATAATACCCCCTGCACACGGTTTGGTACATCTGAATACAGTTCAATAAGCAGGATTTGTCAGTTTAGCTGGATAACTTAAGCCCAAAGTGAGGATTTTCCAACATGAATGTCCTTGGCTCAGTGAAGATGAAATGTGTTGCTAAACTTTGCCAAAATTCTCCAAAATGTAAACAGAATATATTGTGCTCTGTTTTTAAGATATTGCTGTGGTTTGTATGGTTGACCTGTTCTCTTATTGGTCAAGCTTAACTTCTAGCTTAAGTGATCTGGTTAACTGAGAACACCTGCAGCATAGTGGAACTGCTGTGTTTTGAAGCATGAACACAAGGAGAAAAACCATTCTGTGTTATCTAGAACCTTTCAACTGAACATTCTTTAAAGAACCATCTTTGTAAATGAGGTGTGAGCATGAAGAACATCCACATAATGTAAAGGTCCTGTAACAAGTAAGGGTAACTATGTACCCAAGCCAAGAACCATTAAGAAACCTTTATTTTTATGAGGGTAACTCAAGTTTAAAAGTCAAGACTGTCTGAAAGAGGCGGAGCTAAAGGCTTTCCCTACTGAGTAATCCTCATGTTTTGACTTTAGCTACAAATCCCACTGAGAAATCCTTATTGAACACTTTGCCCCCTGACTGTCTCCTCATCCACCTCCACCCACTTCCCCACAGTCCCTGTAGACAGCATCATAACACCTGTTTCAGCCTATCATGACAGAGCAGCCCGTAAGCTCCTCCTCCTCAGCTCCGCTGGTGATGTCATTGGGTCACTGGGAGGTGGCAGTGTGGGTGTGAGCATATACACTACCGTTCAAGTGTTGGATCAAATAAATCCACTTTGTTTGCAGATAAATGCATTAAGTTATGCTGATATGTTAATATTGCAACTTAAATTCAACCCAATCAAATTCAGTTTTTCCTTTTAAGCCAAAAGTTGTCGGTCAGCCAAGATGGGTTTGGTTTGCTTTGTTCGTTTTACACCTGAGCTGTGAGGCTAATGCTTATGTGCTTTCTGACCCTGCATGACATGATCATCCATAAACATGGATAAAAGTGCAGACTAAATTCAGAAGGTCTTGGCCTGTAGTGAAGGGACTAATGTGATCAGTGGTGTCATGTCAAGAAATAATCATTTTTACAGCTGAATTAACATCTGGCAGACATCATCTGTGCTTGTGTGGCCAAAAGCTTCACATATAAGTGATGGATGTTTCTGCCGCAGATCATCTTGCAAGCGTGTTTTATACTGTGCTGGGAAATGAAGGGAAACCGCAGATTGCTGATTCATCAGATTCTGCCTTTGTGTGGTCTTCTGCCTGCAGAGCTTTGAATGGTGTGATTTACATTGAATTGACAGTATATTTAAAATACCTACCAATTTTTTTTTTTTTTTGGACAGCGATTATATAGCACAGGTTTTCCATTATCGAGCAGAGCCATTTAACCGGGCAAAGAACTCTTGATCAGCTGTGTTGTAGAGAACAGCCAGTTAACCATGCAAAGAACCATTTATGCATTCAAATAGTTCTTTGAGTTGTCATAGTTTATAACCATTCCCTTTTTACTAAAGAACCCTTAAAGAACCATTTTTAACCAGTGTGTGTCCTAGTGTGGCTGCATGTTTTCAGCAGGATGGTGACCCCTGGACTAGAAACTAGTGCAGAAACTCTGCATCAACAGATCAACTTCTGGGCTACAGTCTGTAACTGTACACTATAAGCATGGAGCTACAAGGAAGCGGGTGATAATAAAGTGGCCAGTAATTGTTCATGGCTGCAGCTGCATCTTCAGGTCAATGCTGATCTCTATCACAGACTCCGAGACACGCCCTGCAATTCCCTTCTCAGCCACCAGAGTGCAGCACATGCAGAATACTGAGAAAGGAAAGAGTGAGACAGCTGTTTTCTTGCCAATAACACACTGCTGAGCCGTGCTATTACAGAGCGAGAGAGAGAGAAAGGCAGATCAGCTAAAGCTGAAAAGGCCATTTGGGGACAATATATTGGTTTATAGTCATTCAGAACAGATCTAATCATATGAACTGAGTTGTCTACAGTTTCATGCCAAATCAATACAGCTAATGGACTCAATAGTAAGTGGGTTTCATACATACTCCTTCATACAACTTGTATATACAGAACCAATAAAAGGTGACAAGGATGTAAGGGGGAAATGGAGCTGAATTTTGTCAGAATGGTCTACAAGTTAAGCTTAAAAGGCTGATGCATTAGAGCAGCTCAGTTGGAAAGGCTGAAAGGCTGAACATAAAAAGAACATGCTGGCATAAAACAGCTGGATTGCATGTATGAAAGTACAAGTACATACAATGGAGAAGAGTATATATATACACACACACACATTATATATATATATATATATATATATATATATATATATATATATATATATATATATATATATATATATACTGAGTGCTGGTTAGTTAGCATTACTGTTACTGAGTGCTGATTGGTTAGCATTACTGCTACTGAGTGCTGATGGGTTAGAATTACTGCTACTGAGTACTGATTAGTTAGCATTACTGCTACTGAGTACTGGTTAGTTAGAATTACTGCTACTGAGTACTGATAAGTTAGAAATACTGCTACTGAGTGCTGATTGGTTAGCATTACTGCTACTGAGTACTGATTGGTTAGCATTACTGCTGCTAAGTGCTGATTGGTTAGCAAGCTGATCAGCTAATGCACATAAGGCATTACAGAGAGACTTGGAGTTGAAAAGCACTCAGAAATAGGACAGCAGTGTTGATGCATTTTATGCTGTTCTGTGTGTTGTGAACATTTGTGCTTTTCTCTGTATAAAATGATTAGTAATTTACAAACAAACAAATATAAGAACCCATTCACTTTGTACTCACTTTGGAGCACCAGACATACCCATTCAAGTTCAGGCACTCATATTTCATAATAGCAAAGTATAATATTCTTATTTGCAAAACTGCCACATTTGACAGTCATATTAATAAATTTAATTGTTACTTTGTATAAAGAGTATATTTTGAATAGTCATTCCGTTATTAAAACACTAGCACCTTGAACACTTGAGAAAGTATGAATGTACCTGTGCACATTCATAAATATAATTATTAACAGTTTTACCGTTTCCCCCCTAAACTGACTGGCCAAGTTTGGTGTTTGCATTTGAGCTAAAAAGCTAATATAATAGACGTCTGTGTCACCAAAAAGATTTTGGGCAATACAGGGTTCCATTACTTGTAGCCACATAGCTCCAGCGCAAAAACTAAAGAGGCAAACACCAAACATGTCTTGGCCTTGACTTTGGGGTAAGAGGGAAACTGTGTAACTTATGTTTTTTGGCCAGTTTTTCTTTTAGGGTTGCTTTCTTGGACAGGAATTAAGCCTAGACCCAGACTACCTAGCATTCTCAACTGAAAGGAATATGCATGTTCAGTATTTCAATGAAGAAATTACACAATGCTGTGCCCAGGACTTCTGTTCAGGAAAGCAACACTAAGAGACACTCCCTTGTGTACAGAGTGGACACACTGAGAGAACACCATGATCTAACAGGGCATGTGAGGACACAGAGCTGGACAGTATGTAAGGAACACGTTTCACAGGGACTACAGTGTTCCATTGCACAGTGCTCGTATGCAATACTTTTCTCCATAAATAAGCTCTGCTGAATTAACATGGGGCTCAGTGTAAACCAGGCCAAGCAAAGGACCTCTGTGTTCCTCAAAATCATAAGGCTAAACACTGCATTCATGTTAATATGGTCTATAATGGAGTGACGAGTTTATGCACTGCTCATTAAGTTTGGAGACACCTCAACCTGTCCGTACTAGCGCAGGCTGAAGCACACTGTATGCTGCCATGACTAAATCTACCTTCTCATTCAAATACAGCTTTTAAATGGCACTTAAAGTGGTACCTTCAGCAGACTATGCTGGACAGTGCTCATGGGAGACCTATGGATAAATCATTGAGCAGCAAACTAACAAAAGCAAAGTGGAGCTCCAGTTCCCCTCAAGAACCTCCACTGTAATAAGACTGCAGAAGCTGAATGAACGAGAGGAGTTGAACCATTGACTGTATATATATATCTGATATTGTGCCATGCGCTCGTCCCCTGCGTCCAGTTGACGGCCGCAAAATCCAGCAGGAAGGTGGGGTCTGGGGGATGGGTGCATGGCACAGATATATACACACTCATTGGTTGGAACATGCAGCCACTGTTACTCTCTGTGGATGTCGGTGATGAAAACTAAGCTAAAAACTAATGTTTACTCAGTGGAAATCATCCTGCATTCATACAATAAAAATAATGTTACTGAATTTTTCTGATAAAGCGTATTTTGTCTACCTAGATATCTGTAATAAAAATGCACTGAATATTATTACTTTAATTGTTTGATAGTCCTATATATATTAGGTAACAAGTGAACAGTACAGCAAAACTAAAGTAATAAGTCTCAATTTCTAGGGGTAAAATAGTCCTCACCCTCACATCTCAGGGTGATCTGTATGCTGCAGCAACTTGAAGAAATCACTTGCCATCTTTACATCACTGACTAATACCAGGGTAGCAGGTGTCTGAAATGCAAAGCTTCATTCAACAAAGCCAAACAGGAGGCATGAAATGGCCAAAGTGTTCAAAGTGTAATAACTACTGCTGATGCATAGTATTGCTCTACTAATCAACACAATAAAAAAAAAGAATCACAGCAATCACATTTAAATAAATATCATGCAAACAAAAAGAAAAGAATTCCCACAGTGCAGTTTGTTCGTCAAATTTTAATGCCAAAACAATCTTAATTGTCCAGGGGGAGGGGAAAACTTTTGTCAACTCAATAAAACTGTTGCTTTTTGACTTGTTAAGGAGCTTGTTTCAGCCTCTAGGCGGCGCTATTTCCACAGCAGTTCTCTGTACTTTCTCAGCCACAATTAAAATACATAATGCAATCAAAATCAATCTAAATCCCCTTCATTTCTCTATGACGCCTGTCGTGTACCTTTCGCACTGGAACTTCTGCAGACTGGATCATCTCAGGTATTGAAGAGTACAAAAAAAATTTAACCAAAATATACACGCGTACGAAAAGCTTCCCAACAGCTGTGTATGTTCATGGGCCGATAAATACCGCACAGAAAAGCTTAGCAACATAAAACGCAAATGGCCACAGTCTGAAACACAAAAGCAACTGGGGTAGGACTTGGTAAGGTCAGGCACAGGGTTTTATGAGACAAGCGTTTGGCAACAGCAAAGCAGATTATAATGCTGAAAAGAAAAATTAGCTTTTTTTTGTTTTGTTTTGTTAAACAGGAGCATGAATGTCTAAAAGGGGGTGGGCAATACAGCAAAAAATATAACATTAAAATACCTGAAGACATCATGATACAGGACACATATCGCAATATTTAGTTTTATAGTTTTGTATAATCTGCAAGTAGCTTAAAAATGCTAACACATTTTCTGTTCAGTTTCCAGTTACCATAATGATATAATTTCGTCAAATCGCCCACGCTTACATCAAAAAAACATAAATGTTCACATTGCTCAACCTGTTTCTTTTGATCTGAATAAAAGAAGGACGTTCCACCTCAGGCGTACATTTGCGTTTGCATGCACTCTTTCACTAAGACACTACTGGAGATAGAGTGTCTCCGCAAAACTAATATGCTATAATATATATACACATAGTCATATGCAGACATTTGAACACCTCTGGTCAAATCATGTTTTGTTGACTTTTTAAATAAAAATAAGTAAACACATCCTTAAACATAAAACAAGTAGTAATTGTGCATTACACTGTGCAGTGGAGAGTGGAGAGCAGTGGTCACAAACCCTCCCCCTGGAGATCTAACTTTCTGGAGGTTTCACCTCCAACCCACATCTAACACACATCCTTTATCTAACCAAGGAGTTACCTGAAGAAAATAATGAAATTCATCAGGTGGAGTCTATTAGGGTTAGAGCTAAAGTCAGCTGGAAGGTAGATGTCCAGGAGCAGGTTTGGTGACCGCTTCTGTAGAGGATGTTTTAATTTATTTTCACTTAGAAAATCAATAAAACATGTAATTTGACCAGGGGCACCCAAACTTTTGCATATGACTGTATATATTAAGCATACTGCTGTTCAAAAGTTTGGAATCAGTGTTTTAAAATGACAAAGCTATAGAACATAGAGAATTCAGTCTAATGAAATTAATATACAGAATTAATCATATTTCATCATTGATCAAATCTCAAGCCAGCAACCTTGACAAAAAGAATGAAAACAGATAAATTACTATTATAATATATAATAGTATAATTATCCTTTAAAAACTTCTATTTTGCAGATTTCTTATTATATTGAAAAAACATGTGGTGTATAGTTATAGTATAATCTAATATTCCAATCCATGTTGTATAGGTCACTACTGTATATAAACCAACAATGAACTGTCAATGTGCACAGTGATTCCAAACTTTTGAGCACCAGTGTATTTTGTCAAAGCACAGTAAGAATATTCCCATTTTAACACTAGCTGTGACACGTTTCCTGTCAGTCGAACTGAGTTTCAGATGAATGCCATTTAAACTGGTTTAGTACCAAATTAAGCCATCAGAACAACATTTTTTGACAGAGACAACTGCATAGCGGAGAAATTTCACTGTATTTCACTGTATGAAATGCTTAGCACAACCCTAATATGCAGTTAAAGGAACAAATGAGGCAACCAAAATGAGACAAAACAAAAACACATGGACAAAGACAGACACAACCATGTTCTCTCTCTGCATACAGGCCCCCATAGACGCCATCCCACACCAATCGAGCCATGTTCTGTGTAACATTAAATTAAATACATCATACAAAACACAACACATTAATTTCACATGTAACAGGTCTCAACAAGCGTATCTTGAAGATTACAAGTATTTTTAGAAAGTATCAAAACTCCAGGTCGTGGAATTGGCTGGGTATGGAATCTATGGTCCAATCTAAGTCCAATCCTTGAACACATACAAGTCTCAACCAACAGATCAATCAATCAATCAATCACTCAATCAAACAATGAAGCACAGCTGCTGAAGAATAAATTAAAATGCCTATATAAATCATTGCAATCATTGATTCTTTTGAAATAACTATCTGCTTGTCAAAGGATAATCTATTATAAAGGCATGCTGATGTATTTAGTCGCACTACCAGTCCGGCTTATCCCTTTTTGAGGGTCATCTTTTTTTGTTTGTTTTTAATTTTTCCTGGGGATCGTGTGCATTACACAGCCATTGAATGTGAGCGAAACAGTCTCAGTTTTGGGGTCACATTCTCAACGGCTGCTGAAAGGAAGTCTCTCATGGATTTGGTTTATCTTTGCCCCCTTATTACACCCCAAACTTTCTAACACTACCATCTAATTAGGACCATGAGGAAAACTGAACAATCACTCATGAGGACCACTAATAAAAGGAGGAGGAGAAGGAAAAACAGAGGAAATAAAAATGGTTTACCTAATCTCCAATAACAACATGCCACTTTCCAGGCCAGCAAAGCACACTGGAAGGGCTAAGCAGGAGATTCACAAACAGATTTTACTAATAAAAGATGAGGATGGGTGAGGGGGAAAAAAAAGGCAGGTTAATTTTGGGGTGAGCAGGAGGGCGCAATTCCTCGTACAAACTGCAACGTTCCCCCAAGTCCACACGGGCCACAGGCTGAGGCTCATCAGTTCTGTGGCTCAAAAGGAGCTCGCAGGAGGAGTCGTCAGCCTCTTTCCAATATAGACCCTGAGAGAGAGAGGAAAAAAAAGAAAAAGAATTTCAGATGAATTGGATGCAGCAGTTTTAGACAGAGATGGAAGCAGTTATTCTGTAAACTGGCTATAATTGTGTGACATGTTTGTGTTCCTGCTGTTTCCTCAGTCAGACAGTTTGTGCAGCTGCTCCCACTGTGTTCTGATCCCCTCTACTGGCCAAAACAGGAAACTATGGATAAACTCATTATGGGATAAAATTGGTCAACTCTGGTAGCCAGACATTCTGCTGCACTATATTTACGTCAGCATTTACAACAGATTGCTCTCTTTTTTTTTTTGAGAAGTGCCATGCCTGTTATAAGCAGTTGTGTCAAGCATGACGAAACTACACTTCCTAAGCCGCTTATCCTTGTGGATCGTGGGGAGCTGGAGCCTATCCCAGCAGTCACTGGGTGGAATGATGGCACTAGTGTGCTGAAATTTGGGGAGTGCGGTGTGTTGAATATGTTTTGTATTTTAGGTAGAATGTAAGAAGTTAAAAAAAGTCAATATATGGCGTATATGCCCATCTTTCTATTCACAAACACAGACATGGGATGGACTGAATGTTTAGAATATCGTTCCAACAGCAGATTTCTAAATTTAGTCAGACATGGGGAAGTTTTCTGCTTTGCAAAAGACAATCGTGCAACAGCACCCTGAGTTTCTTGATGTATGTATCGTTGCTGTCCAAAGAAAACCATGTGTAAAAATTGTACATTGTGTAAAAATTTTATGAATGGACCAATAGAAATGCTCCAAAATCACTGGAATAAAATCTCTTTACATTAACTTACTTTAAAAAGCTAAGAGGGTTTTTGCTCTCTCCTGTAAAGTTACTATTTTGGAGATACTCTTTTTTCTTTGGACAGCGACGATATGGTAGTTTGTCTCAACCAGCTGATTTCACTGCTGTAGCTCTATTTCTCAAGGTTTCTATCACTGTTTGTGCAAATCACAGCCAAAAAAGCTAAACAGCTTGAATTAATAAAAATAAAAGAGTCCAGTATACAGTCATATGCAAAAGTTTGGGTGCCCCTGGTTGAATTAAATGTTTTGTTAACTGTTGAAGTTAACAGATCCTCTACACAGTTTATCTGCTGAATTTGACATATTGGGGGAAAGTATAAAATAAAATAAATGTTGCCTGTGTGAAGGTTAAGGCATATTTTATGTTAGACTCAGCAAATAAATAGAAACTATGCAACACAATTTGCAAAAAATGCCATATTTAAGTGAGCTCTCTGTAGAGAACGTGTTAAATTATTTTCATGTTGAAAATCCACAAAACAATTTGATCAGGGCTGTTCAAACTATTCTACAACTGCACCTCTTCAAATGTATTCTCTTTAAAATCCATTTTATAGCTCAGTTAAACCCAACGCCACTCCCTAGGGGGGGTCTTGTATTAGGGACGTATCCTCCGTATGTAAGCGTATGTGTATATGCACTCACCCGAGCCCCAGGGCCAGTATGTGTGAGAGCAGCAGCGAGGGGATGAACACTCTCAGGAACTCGGCGGAGAAGATTCCTCCTTTCTTCATTGCTCCCGTTTTCCGCATGCTGAGCGTCACTGATCGCCGGGGGTGACGGAAATGGAACTCCCTGAAAAGACACAAACCCCGCCCACACTCACCATTCGTCATCATCATCTTCATTAATATCGTGATCAGTTCTGACTCTTTCACACTAAGCATTTTTCATAACAAAATCACTGTTTGTTATAATGTTCTGTTTTAGTACAGTCTGAGGAAACAAGTTTTAATGTAATAATGCTCCATGGTACACTTAAAGGAGTGGCACAAAATTATACATTTTACAACATGGTAAACTCAAATTGCTCAAAATTGTTAAAATTTGCAGAAAAATTAGATATTTAAGTTTGCTCCCTTTAGAGGATGTGAACGTATTTTCACTTAGAAAATCAACAAAATATGTAGTTTGATGTTCAAATGTTTACTTGACTATATAATTCTAAAACAAGATATTGAAAAAGTACACCACCTAACAAGCCGTATCCAGATATCGAATGAGTGGAATCAACTCTTAAGGTGAACCAGTTGCTGACAGGTTTTCAATCATGCATACACAGCTTGTATAATCTCCATAGAAAAGCAGTTAGTAATATAACAGGATGCTCTGGAGCAGTCGCACATGAGGCTAAGGTCGCCATACCAAAGGCAAAGCATCAGCTAGAAGGTATAAAGCACCCCCAGTACTGGAGTAAACAGTACTCACTTTGGAGGGATGTTTTCTGGTCTGCTGGACCAATCTGCCACCCAGTCTGAATCTTTCATCAGAATATCATCATCCCTCATCTTCTCCAGCACCTCCTGAACAAAAACATACACAGAAAACAGCATACAAGAATTATTACAGATACAGTTCTAGATATTTTCATTATGTTAATATTATGATTTCAACCAATCTATCATGACCTCCGACAACTATTTGAACGTGAAACTCCAGCTGAATCATCAAGCCTATAGGAGATAGAGCATGCACAGGCTGTGATGATGGTAATGGAGTCACACTGACTAGGACACCAAACAGGTCCATGAACACACAGAAACACTCATAGAACAGCACAAGTGAAATGGCAGAGCTGTATTAGCACATAGTGAAACTGTGTGGAACTATAAGTGAAAATACAATTAGTTCAAATGGTAGAACCCATTAGCTTAATCTCTCCACACTGCTGCTACTACTACAGGCCTCAATGATTCATCATCATTTGAAAGAGTGCAATTTTCTACTTACAAGAGCTACCATTTATTATATCCAACATCATTCAACATTGTCTTCACCTTTAAAGTGGAGAAACTGAACCTGTTTACAGTCTTTGCAAAACTTTATTAGTTGAGAGCTGAGCTCAAAATGAAGCACAGAAATAACAAGATCATAAATAATACAAACCACCATAAATAAGGTATGATGACAGGGAAAAGGATAGCAAGTCATAAATAGACACTATTACATGATTAAGAGGCATAGCAGCTGCTCTGCTTCTGTGGTCATCACAGCTGGAAATAAGGCAGTCATCTACTCTCCTCAGTGTCTTTAGAAGGGTTGTTTCTTGCTATAAGTGATATGAGCAGTCATTCAGGGCCCCTAAGTATGTATTTGTATGTATTGTTTGTGTTTTGTTTGGTTTTCAACCGCATCTGACAAAATGCAGTTTATCAAAATAAATTAAACTAATCCATGTTTTCCATTCTTGCATGCTAAGTAAAATAATGTAGACGATACTACTACTCCTACTACTACTACTACTCCTAATACTACTACTACTACTACTACTCCTACTCCTAATACTACTACTACTACTCCTACTACTACTACTCCTACTACTACTACTCCTAATACTACTACTACTACTCCTACTCCTACTACTACTACTACTACTCCTACTCCTACTACTACTACTACTACTACTCCTACTCCTAATACTACTACTCCTACTACTACTCCTACTACTACTCCTAATACTACTACTACTACCACCACTACTACCACTAATAATAATAATAATAATATCATTGCTTAGAAGGACTTTGTTTCAGTGCATTGTGTTTTTAACTTGTGCATATATAAATCAAACTAAAAATCATCAAGAGTACCTGAGTTTCTCCTCTGTCCACGTCAAAGCTGATCTGACCTTCATCCTGAGGACTGTGGGGGCGAGGGGGACTGCAGGAAGAAAACACACACTCAATAAAGTGTTTGAACACACCGCTCCAACTTTATCCATCTCTAGAATCAGTGTATGACAACATGACCTTACAGCAAGTACTATAGTATTACAGTATATGTATAAAACTAAATATATATCTGTATACACATTGAAGATGACACAATACCACTTTCTTTTCTAATACTGACATTAAAACCTTGAGTATCAGCAGATACCAATCTAATATTTCTTCTACGCTTAAAAATGGTTGGTTTTTAATTGAAGCACTTCAGCTGAGGTGATCAACTTAAAGAAGTCTATCGTGCTGAAGTTACTTCATCACTTTATTAGCCCCACAGGAAGAACTACACAGCTAACATCACACCACACAGTGGGAGTGAGTGCTACTGCAGGATAGATTTGTCACAGGATTAAATGACATTCATTCTTTTCTTCACTCCAAAACCCCATCCAGCATTTTCTGCTGGTATCAGCCCAATACAGATACCCATCTGATATTAATATGCTGTTTGTGATAAATAATATAAAATATAATCCTTGTATTTACACAATTATATACAGTATATCAAAATATATAAGCATTAAAGTGTAGAGATGCACAATCAGAATCAGTAGATCTGAATCTTTTTGTTCAAAACATGAAATCGACAATCGGCCTGTGTATTTTTATTTTGGCAGATCCGTGTTGCAATTTATGATGTAATTAACAAGAGCAAACATGAGCAAATAATGTTATAGGGCTGCAATTAACAACTACATTGATTAGCTGGTCTATTATTTAAGAGTTTTCTTTTCATATGCACAGGAAAACAAGCGGTTACACTGTACAAAGAAATTCTTACTTTGCTAATCCTCTGCTCACACACACACACACACACACACACCCAAAAACATAAATAAAGAGAGAGACATAAATAAGAAAACTTAGTAGTTAAAAATGACTTGTGCAAGTTAAAAATTTCTTAATATGCCTTTGATTAATCGATTAGTTGGGAACTGAAAACTTGCATATATTCTGGCAATAATGTTTTATTCAACAAATAAAAAAAATACAGGGATTATTCTTCCTTTATAAAAAAAAAAATATAAAATTATATATATATGTATATATATATATATATATATATATATATATATATATATATATATATATATATATACACGTATTGCTCCTGAAAACTATTTTTCACAAATACAGAAACAGTAAAAATAACACAAACAAATCTTACATGGCAGGCCAAGACAGACTTATGATAAAGCAAAAATAAATTAAATAGTCTCTGTCTGGTTGATAACATCAAGTAATGAAATTTGATATGAATCACACACGAACAGTCCAGTCATCAGCTGTGTCACATACGGAGATCTAAAGCAGCTCATCTGGCATAAAACAGCAGTAACCATATATATATATATATGTTTGAAAACGCATTTATTTTAATAAGTCTTTATTCAAATTCTAAAAATACAGAATTTTAAAAAATCTTTCACGTAGACAGTAGACAAGAGGCCAGAAGAAAAAAAAATAAACACATCCGAGTTAGTCTGTGTGCATAAATGTACAAGCAGCCCTGATAACCTTGTAGCTTAGCCGAGAAGTTTAGACCAACACTGTCAAAATGCAGCTCATCCCTTCAGCCAGCGCTGCTTATGCATTCTGCTAAAACAGAATCAGCTAACAAGCACACAGCGACGCTCCGTTTCCATTTTACCCTACGTTTTAAAAAGATATTAGTATCTCACCATGCAGAGGTTCTACCTTGGCTGCACTATTTGTTCTCTCTCATACTTATACCTGACAGCTGTGCTGTCAGCTAAGCTTGGTTTTACATATCGTACAAGAGAAGCGCAAACGTCACTAAGCCACCTAATCGATAACTTCAATCACTGCCAACTAATTTTTTTATTGTCAACATTATTGATAATGTTGATTAGTTGTTGCAGCCCTATAATGTTGCTTATATAGCAAGTGTGGCTAATAAAAAATACTGAAAATACTTGCACCATGTGCACAATGCGAGCTTTGGATTAAAAAAAGAAAAGGCTAATAAAAATCGGCCAAAAGTTTGACCACTGGCAAATTTGGCTATAAAGTAAAAAATCGGAATTAGAACTGGTCATAAAAAATAATGACCAGTGCATTCCTATTCAACTGCATTTCACAGTATGAATACAATGATCACTACAATTTGCAAACAGTTTTTTGTAAGTATAATTTCTATGATGTGTATTTACATTTATATTACCCAGGTCTTCTGAAAGCTTACTTAAATAACAACATCACACCTAAAAGAGAAAAAAAGACAAAACCCATGTCTTTAATGTCGATGTGAATGCATCTTCCTTCTGCTCTGTAATGGATTTAAGAGTGAAACACAGTATCAGGGAGGGCTCTGAGCTAGTTGAGCATTTGCTCCCGATGATAGGTGGGGGTGGAGGGAGGGCGCTTGAGGGGAGGGTGCACTGTGTGCCGTTGCAGCACGCAGATATCATGCCTTTACAAAAAAGCTGCCTATGGTAACATCTACATCCCCAGACCACCATGCCAGGTGTCAGACATCAGACAAAATGGCTTCAGGTCTCAGGAAAAGTGGTCTTATCTCAGCTCTCGCATAATTTGACAAAACAGCCAAAAGAAATCAGGCTAGGCTACGGGCTACACACACACCATGGCTTTGGAGGGTAAAGTTATGAAGATGATAATGTAGTACAACCTCTACATCTGCTTCAGTGTTGGGAAGCACTACAAAGACACATACAGATGTGTGTGAAACTAACTTTTTGGCCATTTTTCCTCGCTATATGGACATATATATAACTCTGCATCTCATAAATGTATCTGTGCGAGAGTGACAGTGTGGCAGTGCTTGTATGTGAGAGAGAGACAGGACAGAGTGAGAGAGTTTAGTGTGTTTGTGTGTGATGAAAAATTCTATGATCGTTCTGTTTACTTTCAGTAAACACTCAGTCCTATGACTCACAGTTTGACTCAGATAAGAGAGTCTTTATGACAGCACGTTTAACACGAACACAACAGCTTGTAGGATGATGCGCACACTATGTACACAGCTCGAATGAGATGAACAATCAAATCACTCCAATTATAGTGTATGAGTGTATAAATATGAGTGCATGGGTGGCCGTTCCCTGCTCTATCACGCCTGATTCCACTCCTATGAGGTTTGAAATCTGGTTGATAATTTATGAATCGGAATCAGGCGTAAAGTATTCAGCGCTGTGCTCTCCAGAATTGGGGCTGTCTCCCTCTGTGTTAGTGAAACACAGACTTTCTCTGAACCTTAGTGCATGCTTCAGATGCCATGCTAAACAAATTAACCCATTAAGCTTCTCTGAATGTTCACATCCTAGGCTTTTACATGGTGAAATCTAGTTGCAGGTTGTGATCTGCATACAGCACAATTTACGTTCAACTTGACAGTTATATGAATCAATAAAAAAAAGAAATTACATTTTTTCCACCAGTTATAAAGAGAAATGGCCAGTACCTTTCATATATAATATTTTATTTCCAAATCTTTTCAATGTCTTTATATCATTTGTCCAGCAAGTTAATCTTGGGCTTCATCTGCTGTTGCCCAAACCAGCTACACATATCACAATAACAGCACAATAACAAAGCAGAATAATCTGCGGAACAAACAATTAATCAAACAGCTGTCAAAATTAGTAACATTTACTTGAACTCTATCACACAACAATGAAACAACATTGCCATAAACATGTCATGGAAAGTGTCACATGCAATCATCAGCTGTCATGACATTATATTCAGCAATATAACAGTATCATGCTACCATTACCAGTAATCGTCATGAAAGATGTCATAATGTTTAAAGTAAGGACAGCTAACTAGAGTGTGTTTAGCAAATATTAGCATGTGACATAAATCAGTGATTATGGCATTATTATTATGGCTTATTACTGGACATATGACAACTCATGACAGCATATGACATCTTCCACATGGCATGGTTATGTCACTGTTATGAGCAGAATTCAGTGTTGCCCACAGGTTTTCCATAAAGCTTGTATCTTTTAAGTTGAGATTAAAAGATGGACATTCTAATCCAGTTTCATACACAAACTTGTAAGGTATTATTTAAAATTCTTTTGAACCGTTTTACTACCCCCACACCACACACTGGACACATCGGACCAGAGACAGTGATGCCACACAGCATCTTAGTGTTGCTGTACTATACTGGACCCGAACCCAGACCAAATCCAAAGTAAATGAAGTGGCTTGAAATTTACAGAGAGAACTGCACTCAATCTAGTCTTTAAGATAAACAGACAAATGCTAAAAGTCTGTTTTCACCTCAGCTAATGTTACCAGCCTAGTCACATCAAATTTCACCTATACTCTACTCGGCAAAACAAGCAACTCTTTTAAGAGTTAGTATAAGTCTGTACAAGTAGAGTGTAAAAGGAGCTGGAGCTTTGTTTATTGATGCTTTTCTGTGATGCTTACTGTTTGCCACAGCTGCACTCTTTACTATCTACTACTACACTATGGCAGAGCTTCACATCTAATGTACGGTAGCCTACAGAGGGCTGCAGCAGTTTTTCTTTGCTTCCTACTTTGGACTAAATGGATAAAAAATTCTGACTAAAACATTGAATACAATTCAGATATCTAACGAATCAATTATGAGAATGTATAAATGTTTCTGTGAAGCTAATGTGACTATCAAAAATATTACAATATTACAAAAATATTACAATATTTCAACTATTAAAAATCCCAAAATTCTGACTCATCCCTGTTGCAAACTTTCGCAGCTGAGTATGAAACAAGTTTCAAGGAGGAGGCTTTACATTGCACAATGATACTGAAATTTAGTTTTAAGTAAGCTGCATGAAAGTTTCTCCATGTAATGCCAAACCAAAGTTAATATTCAGTAAGAACACAAGTATGCAAAATTATTATTATTATTCTAAAAAACAGAAGTCAGGACCTGATGATGGGTCTATGATGATGCTAATAAAATGACCAGTGCCCCCTACCTGTCGCAGGATGAGTTGCTGCGGCTGGACTCATGCTGAGCGTCCAGCAGGATCTTCTCCATGTCTCCGTTATGAATGGAGGATGAGGAGGGGACATGCTCCAGTCCACCTGCTATCCCATCATCCTCCTCCACTACCTGGGCTAAAGCTGGCGTCGCCAGGTTGGTGGACGAAGCCTGAGACTCACCTGAGTTTCTGTTCATCTCAAGCTCCACCCATGAGCCTGAGGAAAGGGGACAATGATAAGAAAAAAGAACAAGGTCTGTCCTACTGCAATCTTTTATACTTCCCTTTTTCATCCAAATTACCTCGTACTTGACGCAGCCGCCTGATTGCATATGTTGGCTATTTGAGATCAGGGTTCTCACTTCGTTCATGAAATTATTTTCTAGAACTTCTCCATGTTACAAGTCTGAGACCTCTCTTTATTTATTTAATTTCCAATCAACACAGCCTTTAATTCATTAATTTGTTTGGAGACCTTACTGAGGAGGCTGGATATAGGATATATAGACATAGGAGTTACCAAGACTACCAAGTTTAAAAGAAGACTGCGGAAGTCTTGATAGATCATCAGATAAAAAGTACTTAAAAGCTTTCATTTTTGAGAGAGAGGAGAAAATCAAGCTCCAATTTTGATTCAGATCTGGAAAATTCCACAGGTGTTTCTTTCCATCCTTCCACTGTGAGAAGACAACTCAGCACTATGGTTCTGAAATTATGTGTAGCTGTCAAGAAGCCTCGCTGAGAAAAGGAGACAGACACATCAAACAAAGAAGCCGGTGGTGTTCTCAGAACAAAGGACTGACCACCCCAGAGTTGGAAGGTGAATGTGTTTGGGATTACATGTGAATGGTGAAAAGTAGAAAATGCAGAACCAACTTCTAAGACTGAACTTTGGAGGTGTGGAAAAATATCTCTGCAGATTTCTCTGAAAAACTGAAAGCAAGTCAGCTGAATAGAATGAAAGCTGTTATAAAAGGTAGAGTGGACAGACTAAACACTGAACATTTTTTTTCTGTAAATACATGTTTTCTGCTTTTTTTCTGATACTTTAACTTGTATGTAATAGCTTTTTTGACTTGACATCAAATAAATGAAGTTTTGCATGGTACTGTACATGGTACTGTACTGTTGCTTAGAAAAGGACATCCTAAAGTGCAGAACTGCCAAGACTCAAGTCAACAATTTGACCCTTAATGACTGACTGAGTGATGACACACTCTCACAAACCATTCTTCAGTTAATCATCATCTGGTCAAAATATCTACGAAAACATTAGAAGTGAATCTTGTGTGCAGCAAAAAGCTTAGCCTCACTTTATCAGGTGTTTCGACACAGGGGCCGCATATTTGCGGCACTGTAGCATCTTAAAATTAGCTAAACTATGCAATCTCTATGGCCCAAATTTACACTATTTGACTTTATATTTCCAGGACTATAAATAAGTCTATAAACTTCCAGGTTTTCCAGTGTTTCCAGGACATGTGGGAACCTGAGAGAAGCTAAAGATAAGTTCCCATTATGGTGGACAATAGTGTTATTCTAATCTAATCTTCCTGCAAACATTACGAGACAAGAAAAACTTCTAAAATCTCCCTCCTAATTACAGTCTGAAAAAGCCAGCGCGAGTTGAATCAAGTGAGCTGGAGCTGGAAAAACACTAAACAGCATTTCTGAGCACATTTTGTTTCATTGTTTCTCTACGTTTGACACAAATGTCAGAAGTGTAAACTCTAACCTGCCAATAGTGAAAATAACTGAACGCAACTGTTATGTAATTAATTGCGTGACTCTGTAATTTATTATAAGTACACAGAATTAATTACTTAACGTAAATCCAATGTATAGCAAAACAGTAAAACTCTAAACACATGAATGAACTTCCATGAACTTCTATTGTTATTTGTGCTTCTCCGAATCACTCTGCAAAACAGGAGTCAGCTCCTCTTGAGTTACACATAAACATATCTTGGCTATCTTCATTGTCCGGAGTTCCTTCCTTTCCAGCTCACCAGTAGCACGCACTCGAGAGGCTTTAGGTTATTTTTAGACTGATGTTGAAACAGTTTACAAAACCACCAGCAGCCAGTGTTATACAGCAAGCATGTACTGCGTCCCTCTGCTCAATTACAGGCCTCCAAACTCATCTGCTCACTCTCCACTCTATCAATAATGCATGAGTAAATGAGTAAAATGTGTTGCGAACTGCACCCTATCACTCTTGACTTGCTCATTAGGGCTTGGACCTGGATTTTCTGTAAAGCTGCTTTGTGACCACACCTGTTACAGAAAGCACTACATAAATAAACTTCGACTTGATAGCAACTTTTCTCTAGGATTTGTATTTCTTTATCCAAGTCACAGAAACATTTAGTAGAGAAAAACTTAATTCTCAGAAGCTGCAGTTATCACTGGTGAATTTGACAAAGAAAATTGTAATTTCATATCATTGTATATTAAAGCTGCACTATATAAGACAGTTTTATATATGTGAAAATACCTGCTGCCCTTTAGATTGCATGTAAATTTCATGATGAATGGTTCCAAAAGAAATGGCCCAAAATTACTTGGTTCCACTGACTTACATTAAAGTAAGTCAATGTTAAAACTGACATTATGCGTCTTTATTTATCAACATTACACACAGGCTCAAAAAGAAGGTCCGGCTTGATGTTTTGGTCTCAAATGCAAAATCAACATTACACTGATGAAAATTTGATAACAATAGTAGATAATTCACTCACATCCTCAGAAGACATACCCTTCACCAAGTTTTGACTGAGTTCTCTTTTGAATTCTCTCTCTCTTCATCATCAGATTCATCTGCTGGGGGAAGGAGTCTGAAGCAGAAGTTCTGCAGGTTGCATGCAGTTAAACATTTCCACCAGAGAGGTCTCCAAATCCCAAAAACTTACATAGTGCAGCTTTAACCATTTTTCGCTCATAGCTCATTCTGTGAAATTTTGTGTAAGTAGAAAAGGAGATTTTACTAAGATCTGAATTTAATGAAAAGTTATTGTTGTGTACAGTTTTGTTTGGATCAAAGAAAAAACATCCCTTTATTGATATGACTGTCTGTTTATACTTCTTAACTCTTGAATAATACAAATGTTGTAGCACTGGATGCTGGGTTATCCAGAATCCTTTGCTGTTTTAGTTTCTGTCAATTACCTTGTCTTTGATTCTCTTCTTAGACAAGCTGTGCTATAACGTGAGGTGAGGTTAAAGGTGAGGTTTGTATACATGTTCTTGTTATTTTAACCATGATGGTGTTTTGTGTTGAAATTTACCAGTTCAGTTTGTTTTGCTCTCATACATTTCTATTCTACATTTTATTTCTTTCCTCTTGGGTCTACATTTAAGGCCTTTAAAGCAAAAAAATAGTCACAATTCATTTTTACATGACCACCTTATTATTCCTTAGTAAATTATTCCTTAACTGTTATAATTATTAATATATCCCCTTTTCTGCTACATATTTATTTTATTTTACATTACCTTTTTTCTTTTTTGCTCTGTTGTTTTTACTTTGTATTGTGAAGCACTCTGCATTTCTAATGTATGAAAGGTGCTATATAAATAAACATGGACTATGGACTAAGGAGTGACTGGTACATTTTAAAGCTCCAACAATGTTTACATACTGCATCAAATTATATTATTAATAAAAAAGCAAGAAATTATGCTTTTCTATTAGATGGGCCCTTTAATATTAGGCCAATTTTTTCCCGCAGTTTACTGGATGATACTTACGGAAACTTGATTATGAAAATGAGTCAGAATACACATCCCTAGTTCCTAAGGATCCCAATAAAAATTAACTTTTATTGGATTTACAGGGAAGAGACAATTCACTGATTTACAAGTTATGAGTCAAGTAATGATAAATTAATAAACCTTAATAAACCTTACTAAACCCATCCCTTTGTGATCTCCAAGTGGTGCTCAACCACCCACCCTCCACCCAAAAATAGATGAGTTAAAGCAATGGCCACAGGCAGACAGAAACAGAGACAGAGGGATTCCCCATAAGCTCCTGCTGTTCTGGCCTAAACTCTATTTACAGCATGGTGAAAGGACAGTAAATGCCTCCCTCTCCCTCCCTGAACACGCTCACTGATATATGAGCCACGTCTGAGCTCACTGCTCAAGGCTCTACGTGAGCAAAGGCAGGAACACATACACTTACACAGACATCTTTATTGTTCATGACTTGGCAGAGGGAAGCTGAACTTTCCGTGTCTCACGGTGGCCTCTGACCTGCTCTGCTGCCTCATTGCAACCTATCACAGGTTCTGTGTTTGACTAAGCGAAACACGATTTGGGCAAAACAAAAACAAAAAAAGTGTTTCTGGTGATCAAAAAAACCCCCAAAAAAACCACAGACCAACTGTTTCCCAGGAAAAAGGAGAAAGGAAGAATGCACAGGCTGAGCACATGACTTCCTCAAACTGAGTAAACACTGAGGTCATGTGACTGGAGACCTCCCACTGACTCAGGTCAGAAAGTGAGACTGAGATGGAGATGATCTAGCCAGATTACTGGCCACTCAGGCCACCAAACCAGAGTCTAGTGGCCAAAATGAAGAGTTTATGGCCACAATAATAACATGGTGATCATATTTGCATTGTATTTACAATTAATGAGCTTGGTTTAGTGACAAAAACAGTCAAGTGTTGCTTGAAAAAGGAAATATTAATGCTGGTGTGTTTACTGTGGAGGTCTTACTTGCTGAACTGGTCCACCCTGATATCATCTGATCCAAGTCATTAAGCACTGTTTAGCTACTGCTGTGATAGACAGGATCTCAGAGTAACAGCAGCTTATTTAACAGATTATTTAATTTGATATCTTATTTAATAGAGCGACATTATTAAACTTCAGCCAGTGGAAGAGCATGTGGGACACCAGGCAGACCGGCTCAGCAGGGACCACCACGGTCACCATGCTATTGAGGTCACATTAGCTACAACGGTGGTTACAGTTAACGATTTCTGACTCAATCTAATTTAATGCAATTAGCTCCATGTCCGGCCAAACAGCTCTGTTAAAAGGGAAAAAGGATGAAAAAAATCTCCAATACAAGTAGCCACTCGGCCACAGGCTCTGCATTTTTAGTGGCCAAAATGTGAAATATTGTGACCGGGAACACTGGGCAATAGGCAACATCAACTCCCATGGAGCCATAAATGTGTAAATATATGTGTATACATGTAAACATCTATATGAAACAAATTTTGAGACAGTGTAAATGGCAGCTGACATTTTCAAATGATGACAAAAAACAAATAAGATAATCTAATAATCTAAGCATATTCTCTATTTTTGTTGTTTTTCATTTATTTAACATAATCTAAAAAATCCAGCAGCCCTTTACAATAAGTAGATATTTTCTGATTAACTGAAATCATCCAAATTTAATTGGAATAAAATCTCTTTACATTAAGTTCCACTGGAAGTCTTTTCCTGTAAAGATACTATTTTGGAGATAGGAGGTCTTGTTCTCACAGAAATAATATGCAAGTACCCATAGGTAACCTTAACCTCAGTAACCCAAAAGCAACGGTTAATCTCCAGTCTAATACTGACATAGAACATGGAATGATCATTGCTAAACTGCTGTCCACAAGCTTCTGTTTGCATCCACACTCGCAAATAGTCGCCATGCCGTTGTGGAGGCTGAACATTCTGGCCAGGCTTGGGTCACAAGGGCTTCAGCTGTCATACAGGTTTACATGGGGAGATCAAAGGCATTAGATGCAACCCAGCAGCGGCTCAGAAAGTCTTTACGTCACTCATCCTTTAACAAAAACGTCTAATGGACATGCTGTCAATCCTAAAAGTCCAGCAGGTCCTTCTGAAACAGACAACATGCATGTTTACTGCATGTTATTAAACTCAGGGCTAATCCTAGCACAGCTGTGGTCCTGTTTTGGCAAATAGTGATCAGGGTTTTTACACATATGAACACCTGCAGACTGCAATAGACCATTTCTACAATTATTTGGGCTAATTCGTGCTCCAGGAACACTGGTGGAAATGGTGGGCTATAGGAGGAACTGAGCAAGTTTTTTTAAGAACAACACAAAAGTGAGAAAGGAACAGAAAGGAGATGGTGAAATAGAGAAAACAGAGCTGGGTGAATAACTAGTTCAGCACGATTTGGGAAAAATATCTAATCGTAAATTTTCTGACCACTTAAATCCAATTTCAGGCCTTTTTATGATCAAGAAGACCAGCACATCCACTGTTTAGGACTTAAGGGCTGAATACTGAATGCAGTGTGCAAGACCGCCAGTTCACAAGCTCTACTAGGTTAAATTTTTTTATGACAACAGTGAACATTAGGGATGTCATGATTATGAAATTGTAGCTCACGATTAATTGTCAAAAATAACTGATTAACTATTTAATTGTATTTTCTTGTTTACTATTTCCAGCTTTCGAAATATAAGCCAAATTGGCTGATTAGCCATCTTACTTGCTGCCTGTGTTTACTTTGTTTATGTTTACATTGCTAATACTGGTTGTACTGTTGAATCAGTACTGCATGCACACAAATGTCTACATCCTGTTCCCTGGAGAGACACCCTGGTCTACAGTTACATTGATTATGTGTAGAGTTAAGCAATGCTATGTGTTCTTCACAAGAGTGATACACTCATTCGGCTGGCATACATGCTAAAATGTTAGAACTGGTTGCATGGCTAACAAACAAGCAAACATTACTGGCGCTGCCCACAGCACCAAGTGAGATGTCAGACCTTTTTTCATGTTTTAATAATACCAATGATGTGTCAGTGGATGCATTTACTGCTTTCTTTTATTTACATTTATTCGCCTCAATCAAACACACTCAGTTCACATTTTGTATGTTGCAATCAAACATAACTGTGAAATCTAACAACTGTGCAAAACTATTGCAGTCAACTTTTATAGTTGCGATCATCTCAAACAGGAACACTGAATGCTGAAATGTAGAATGTAATTAAACATGGCAGCTCTTGTGATTTAAAAAATTGCACTCTTTCAAATTGTGATCTGATATAAAAACATTTCATCATTCATTCGTAATCATGTGTTACTAACATACCAAACATTATATCCAAGACGACATTCTATTGCAGAAAATAGCAGTGTCCTTGTTGCTAAGCACTTTGTTTTTAGTTGTATAAAATTGTATTTTGTGTACTTTAGACATGATATATCTCCAGGACCTCACCTGGGTGTTTGCTAACTAGTTACTGTCATTTTTTTTAGGTGTTTTAGATATGGCTGCAAAAAAAATTCATATTAAAATCAGCATCTCGATTTATTACTTAATGCAATTTAATTAAAGGAACAGTGCTGATTCTGCACAATTTATTAATGAAATTTGTTTATATATTTATAATGGCTGTTTATATTGATCTCCAAGCTGCTATTATGCTATTTGCATGGTTTGCTGTGTGCAGATTTAGTAAAAATACATACTATTCTTTACTAAACCAGTCTGTTGAAGAGTCATTGTTAAGAACTGTGGTCTCAATTCTAATCCAAAAAAATCATGATTACCATTTTTATCAAGAATTATGCAGGTCAAATTAAATCAAGCTCAATTCTAAGATATTGTGTAGCATTACTTATAAAGCATGAATGCATTAACTTCATGAATGAAAGCTCTTTCTTTTTGAATTTCATGAGTGCCACCCAGCAATAAATGCAAATCTGAACTTGTAGTGAAGTCTGTAAGAAGGTTAATCATTGGATCAGAGCCTAATCTTCTTCGTGTCACTGGGCACGTAATACCTTCGCATAAATTCTCCACTGGGATCCCAACTGTTTGTAGATGGATAAATTGGCACTTAAACCTTTTACAGTCAGTAAAAGGAATAAAAACAAAACAAATGCTGATTGTAGCCATTTTTATATAACTACCAACAGCCAGTCAGATATTATTATCCACAGGATAATTTCCAAAATATTGAACCTATTTTCTCCACATAATCATCTTGATCACCATAGATGACACAGTAACCCACTTTTAACACAGAGCAACTTGCCTGGCATGCAACAGAGAAAGAAACAGTCATGGCACAGTCAAATATCACGGCACAAACTCCTAACCATCTCCCTGGTTACATTTTCCATTTCCTAAAAAATCTTTCTTCACTTTCCTCACGTCCAAAACGTACGCTCCGCCACCGCCAGAAATAGAGTGGCCAGAGGTCCAGCAGAGATCCAGGCTCATGGTGTGGGAGTCAGTGTCTCTCTGCCTTTCTCTCTCTGCCAGCTTTTACCTCAGCCACCAGTGAAGTACTGACTGGCTGTTTGCTCTCAGCATGGTGTGACAGACACGAGAGTAAATGTCTTTATGTCTTAGCCGCACACAGCTTGTCTCAATATTTAGACACAAATGGACAACATATAAAACATAACTGCTCTTAATGCCTGTTAATGATTCCAGGCATGCAGGGACTGCATATATCAAAGTGGCAGGGGCGTAAAGTGTGTAATATATATCCTACCATCATGAAAATGAAAATGCACCACGCAAGAGTTGTTTACTAGCCAAGTTAACTGATATCTTATGGGAGGTACAAGACTGCAGGGCCTCAAAACTGGAGGCCTTTCAGCTTGAGCTCCATGTTTTCATCTCTGCTTTCACTTTGGGTTTAAGTGTATTGATACACACGACTAATCCAACAAAACAGACAGTGTTTTTAGCAAACCACTTCACTCCAGTCTTGGGTTTGTTAGCTAACTATCTAAGCCAGCTAGCTACCAAAGCTAAGCAAAGGTTTATATGTATCCACTAAATGAAATAAATAAAACTAAAGTCAGTTTCGCTAGCTTCTTGATTGAATTTTCCCGTTCCACCTTAAATGGTGCAGCAGTTCTTATTATAACGCCAGAGGCGCCAGAATGTAACTGCAGCACCATTTAAGGTGGAACGGAAAAGTTCGAACAAGAAACTGGCGAATAGGAAGCCTCGTAATAAATAAGGCGATAAAAGAGCATGTGCCTTTGCTTATGTAAACTTCCTTTGCCTGAAAAAATGAAATTTTAAAGAAGAACTTAATGTAAAACAAACTATAAACATGTTATGGACATCTGCAGCTAGCAACAATCTCCATTTTTTTTGTCGCCTCGTCTTGTTGACATCGACCACTGCACGCCTTTTAATGCTGCACGATCGCTCATTGGTTGAGAGCCTGTCGCTCCATCCTCTGTGCCCGCCCATCCTCATAAGTCACGCGTCCCCATTGGCTAGCATGTCTTTCAATCAAATGAGAGCCCAACGTTTCTCCGCAGAAGTATTAAAGTCAGAAAACATCGTATTTTACGTAAAACGAACGTGAAAAAGTCCCTACAAAGGCGCATTTTCGCGTCTTGAAAGCTTCACGTTAGCTCTCTGGTAATGACAGGATATTATATAGTACAGAGACAACACAACGTACCGTTTAATCCCGGGTCTCCGTTGTTCTCCGTCGGAGCAGCAGTGTCGGACATGGTTTAAAGTGTACAGTGTTCAGGGAGGCTTGCGTAAGACTGACAGTCAGTCCCTCACCACATGAACGCACTGGGACGTGCACACAGACCCGTAGCTGCGAAGGGGGTTGACCTGAGATCGTCTAAACTGAGGGATAAGTCGTCTCTGGCACAAATAAGGCCCCGTTTCGCCCTCCCTAAGAACAGAGGGGGTTTGTTTTGAAGTTGAGCAGTCCGTTGTCTGAAATGACGTAGTCGCAGAGCTGGCCAATGATAACGACGCTACTCGATTACGCAATGAAGCAAGATAGAAAAGAAAGATAAACAGATGGTGGACGCGCAGTGCAGCTAACCGAAATAGGCTGCTAAGTTTTTAACTTAACTTTGTGTTTAAAACTTTTTTTCCCACTTTTTTTTCGTATGTTTCATGTAAAATACACAACACAAGCCTTTCAGTGACGAAAGATTAGAGGGAATTTAACCGTTGAGCGGTTTTTGAAAATTGACAGTCGTTTCAACCAATGAGGATGCGTACATTTTGAAAGAGGGCGGGCCACACAGCGATATTGACGAGATTTGAACCAATCCGCGGCCAAGCGTTACAGCGCGTGCTATGGTTGATATCAACAAGGCAAAATAAATAAATAAATGGAGTTATAAATAAATACCGAACAGAATTTAGGTGTTAAATAAATAGATAACAAACAAACAAATAAATAAATAACTGTAGTTCTACACAAATAGAGAACTGAATTTAGATGTTAAATAAATAATAAATAACTAATAAATAATAAAAATAAATAAATACATAAAGAAATAAGTTAAAATTAACTGAAGTTCTACACAAATACAGATTAAAATTTAGGCGTCTTGCTTAGTTAAAGGATCTCACTCACTCTCACAAAGGAACTTGTTTTGCTACAATGCATGAAGAAAGACAGTGTTTCAGCTGCTGCATCCAATCTATTGAGTGTATACACTGCATAGAATGACCAGTGCTCAAGCTAGGCTTTCTCTACCCCTCTCCTCATTGTCATTCTACACTTGTACTCTCTCTAATGCATCCTATTGCAGTGACTTGCTCTTTAGAGAGCAAAGCAGTTACAGCTCACAAGGAAACAGAATAAAGGAGAACCTGGCTGAGCTTAAAACACAACTCTGATATATTTTACTTTACTTCCAGTATGATGGTATGCATCACTGCAGCATTTGAGCAGGACCATAGCAGCAATGTGACTGCAACCAAAAAGCTCCTGGATACTGATAACTCATACTATTACAGGCCCTTGCTCCTTTTAAAAATCCACATTGAAGGGCCCATATAACAGAAAACTGAATTTCCTGAAAAACAAATTCATGCAGTATTGTTCAAGTTTCACGCTGTACCATTCACTCCCCAGTCCATGTGGTCCATATACACAAAAAGAGCCACAAAAACAGCCCATTTTGAATTTACTGTTTTTGTGATGCCACAAAAACCAATACATTTGTATCCTTTAATTCAGTTTACAGCAGTTTAGCTTCACCCATTTCTGCTGACATTATAATGCAGGGTGCCCATTGTTTTTCCTGGAGATCTACCACCCTGCACAGTTTAGCTCCAGCCCTAAACAAACACACCTGATCCAGGTAATGAATGCCTTCAGGGGCATGGGAGTATTCCAGCCAGGTGTTGGACCTGAACTCTCCAGGGTGATAGATCACCAGGACCAGGATTGGGTCCCCTGTTATAAGGCGTGTTTTAATCTAGACTGCTATTTGAATGAGGTACAATGCAGGGCAGCCAATTAATTATGACTGTTGCTGGTACCTAAACCCTTCCAAACATCATAAACCAGGGTGTCTAATCTAATCTGCAGAGGCTCGGTGTGGCTGCAGGTTTTCACTCCAAAAAAGCAGGAGATCACCTGATTAAGTTTGAAGACTAAGACCAACTGATTTAAGAGGTGGAGTCAGGCGTGCTCCAGCTTGTTTGGAGAAAAAACCTGCAGCCACACCGGCCCTTTGCAGGTAAGACTGGACACCCCTGTCATAAGCGGATCTCGGTGAAATAAAATGTAGGCTATGGGCCTTTTAATTCTTGGACTAGGCTTAATCTAATAGCAGTTAAAACTTCTTGGTTAACTTCATTCTGCTGCAGACTACAGCTACATATTTTCAATATTTGATGGGATTTGATGAGTTTAATAGACTATCTACAGGATTTGATGAGTTTAATAGACTATCTACAGGACGGTCACTCCTTAGGAGACTTTCTTCTGTCCTGAGCTGTCTGTACTTGGATATGTGTGTTTGAAAATACTTCTTAAGGAAGAGTTCAGCAATTTTTAGAAGTGGTTCTGTGCGCCTCTAGATGCTGCTGCCTTCACTGATGGTACAAGATAATGGCAGTTATTTACATTGGGCAGGGCTGACCCAAATTAGACTAGGGTTATGTTTAGCTTATCACTGAGAATGAAAACTGTGTGCTCTATCAACAGACGTAGATATGCTAATTGCATACAGCCATAACACTTGATTTATTTCTTGAGCTTGGACCTGTTGCCTTAGTAATACTGGTAAAGGCGTGTTTGTCAAAAACTCACTTATCTCACTACAGTATGTCACACAACCACTGGGAATCAAAAGAAGTCCTGACTAGCACAGCCAGTCATGTAAAGGCTGACATTTAAAACTGCCCAGCCTCAAGTATTCACCCAAAGCGCATGCAGTTTTTAAAAGTTCCTCCCACTTTCAAGGTACATCATCAGAAGTGGGTTTTCCTAATCTTTAAATGCAAAAAATCTTGCTCTAAAGACTACTGCAGCACTGTTGTAAGAGGTGAGTAGACAAGTTTATAACAGATCCAGCAATGGCTACATGTTTAATTTTGGCCAGAGTACTCTTTTAAGAAACCTACAATAAATGGGACAACCTTAACCCTTCACAACCTTTAATAACTACAAGTCTTAAGTAAATCCTCCAGAGAAAACCTGCATATGCAACCATCTTTGGTGGCTTTCTCTGCTTACCAGTTTTAAAGCAAAGGGGTGAAAAATGCACTGGTCCCACCTTATTGCAAATGAGATGCTATATGGACTTGTATAGTCATACACAGAACTTAGTTGCACTTTATACAGAATTAAACTGCAATGTAATGCTCAGTCAGGTGCCGGAAAGAAAGAGACACAACTTTGAGTGTAATGTTTGTTCAGTTTATAAATACCATTTTTCATTATCGTAATCTCTATAATCTTTCTCAACTTGCAGAGAGAGAGGGTGAGAGAGAGAGACTGAGTGAGGGTGGGGAACAAATAAAAAATAAACAGGTACAGTACGGGCAACAGTTTTTATACGCCAATTATCATCAGTCTACTGGGGTGTGCTAGTTTGAGTATAGACGAACTGTAGCAAACAAATCACACGACTACAACACTTCTGCCGTGGGCCTGTCTGCACTGAGAGTAATCAGCTTTGGGGTGCTGTAGGGCTGTGACCGAAACGGATCCCTGTTTCCATTTTAGGGCACTGTTACATACGTTGGCTATTTTTCTTTTAAGTGTCAATCATACAAATTGAATTCCAGAGTGATTTTCACCTTTGGCTACTACATCTCCCACAATGCATCAGCTGAATGTACACCAAAAGCAAGAGACAGAGAAAAGTGGCCCTGAGCCATTGAAAACAAACTGGAGAAACACTACAAAAGAATAGCAGCTCTTAAAAATGAAAATTTTAATGCAGATTACTGCAGTCATGGACCAAAAACTAAATGTTTAATTTTTCTCCTCCTTTTCAACAGTCATGCTCATGTTTATGACAAGCTTCAGCCTCACTCACACAAGTAATATTGATTTGTTTATGTGACTGGTGAATACTGGGGCAGGGTGATGAGAAAGTGTCCAAATTTATTTAATAACGCGTTTCCAACACTATTTAGTAACCTAAACAGCTCTCCCCTCGCTATACAGTGTAAAAGTTATGGAGTAGAGATCCCTTTCAGTCACAGCCTGTGTTGTGTTTCACAAAAGGACTGCATTTACGGCCCAAAACTTTTCTAACTGAACAGATTTGTGTTTAAGGACAGTATTGAAGAAAAATTATTGAGCATAATAAAGAAAAGAAAACATTCTTTAAACAGAATTAAAACAACCTAAACATCTTGGCAGTTTCACTGAAGATTAAAAGGTACAATGGCACAGAATAAGGTGAGGCTTAAAGAAGAATACAGGGACACATCCATTCAATTTTCTGTTTTTATACACAGACACCTTGAACAAACCAAAAGAAGAATACAAAAACAAAAACAGAAAAACAAAAAAACTATGGCTGATGTCTGACAGATATTGGAACCTGCTGCCCACTTCGCCCTGCCGCTGGGACTTATGGGTGACGGGGGGAAAAGGGGATTGTTGGTACAGACAGCAGATGGCACATCACCGGAGGAAGGCGTGCGTCACGTTGCCACAGAGACCGGAGCCCGGATGTCCGGTTGCCCTTTCTCCAGATCAGTCTGAACCGGCTCGGTATTGGTTGCCACGGTTACTGGCCGCCGGTTCACCCTGTCCTGGAGCAGGCGCCCGTTGGTACGTGATGATGACGACGATGATGGTGGTGGTGTTGGTTGTTGTGGTGGTGGTAGTGGTGGTGGTTGCCACAGAAACGATTATTTTTCTTTGCTAGTTCATCATTTAATCTTTCCCCAACCCCGCCCTCCCCAACACACAGACAGAGGTTCGGAGGTTTATCTATCTATCGCCACGATGGCCGAGCGCGCTAGTTCACTTTCTCCTGGAAGATGTAGAGGTTGTTGGTGGTTGCCACGGCGATGATGTTCTCCTGTGGGTGCCAGGCGGTGTGCAGGATCTTCTTGTTGAAGTCCAGGCTGTCCACACTGATCTCGTCCTTCTTGCGCTTGCCACCGGCGCACACCCGCCGTGGCTTCAGGACCTGCCGCGGTTTGCTGCTCTCTCGCGACGCCTCCAGGGTCACGTCCCTCCGCTGTGTACGGTCCAGCATGCGGAAGAAGTTGTTATAGGAGCCTGTCATCACCACACTAGCCAGTTGAAAGGAAAGAGAGACAAGAGACAGACACAGACACAGGCGCATGAAATACAACGCGTTACAAAATACTTTAAAACTGGAGACGTAGTTACATAGTTAATAAAGCCCTAAACGTGCCTGCTGATCACTGTTCCCTTCACAAGAACACCAAACATTTTTTGAGCGGTGCAAAGACATTTTATTCTCCCTCTGTTTGTTCTTTGTTAACTTTTGTTAACACTTAACTTTGTTAACGCCAACATGAACTCACTGACCAATCGCACTCATCTGGTGTTGGCATGGCAACAACCAAGATGCTGGTTTAGCTGTGTCACAGAAATCAGAACTTTTTGACAAACTTTAGAAGGATGAGTCTGCCTTCTGCTTCTTAACAGATGGTTTTAGAATCTCTAAAAGCAGCTCAAACAGAGTTACAGACATCCCAGAACATGCAAAAGCTCTTGAAAGTTCCAGTCGCTTAATGGGCTGGTGAAACTCTCCAAGATCCTTTCATTTTTCCCAAAGTGGAAAAGAGCAGAGCAAAGGATTTGTCATTTGAAGGCAATATATATATTTTTTGTTCACTCCACATGTAGCTCTGATGTGAAAAAAAAAATGTTTGAAAAAATGTGCTATAAAAACGCATTTCAAATAGTTCTCATATTTGTGGTTTGTTTATTCACATCGTGTCCGGAGTGTGTAACTACCTTAATGCTGCGCTTAACAAAAGTATCCATGCTGCACAGCAGGGTTGGTTTTCTTAGCTGCCATGTATGTTTTAAAACACTGACAACTGCTTAAAACTTAAACACTGACAAATTGCATGTTGAGTCCTGTTTAATTGGATTTAGTTCAGTGAAACACAAGATGCTGAATAAAAAATATATTCAATAGATTCAGATTTTTTTTTGTTATTTTTCTCTGTTCCAACTGATTAAACTCCAAAAATAAATAAATAAATAAAATAAAATAAAACATGAATACTGTAATGCTACTCGTATACTGTGAAAATGTCTAGAGGTATTGTGATGATGTGGTATTGCCCACCCCCAACACGCTTCATTCCACTGTTACGGCTGATAGAAGCTTGGAAAATTCTACTCTTGATGGAAAACATGGAAGATCAGTTTGCTGTGGTCCGTCCGTCACATAAACACACCACTAAAAAGAAGATCCAAGTTACCGTTGTTAAAAGTACATTACAGGATAATTTATTAGGGGTGTAATGATTCTCAGAATTTGAGATTTGGTTCAACATGATGTCTCTATATGGTGAGCAATCAACATTACAAAACAATATATGAGACTTACATAGTGGTGCTTGATCCATTTAGACTGATTTCCATGTAGCATATAAACACTAAATCAAAGCTGCGCTTCATAATGCTCAAAAATCTAAAAACTGGGATCTTAAAACTGCAATGACTACTACAAAGAAGTCTGAACTTGGCAACATAGGTCAAGCAATTCAACACTACAAAACTGGCCACGACACACACTGAAACAAAGGATCAAACATTTCAAAGCTGCGTTATCAGAAGTTGTTCTTTATTAGCCAGACAGAGTACTCAAGTAATAGTAAAGTGACAGTGAGTCTTTGGTTATTTTTGTTTTAGCATTACATAAACCAGAGATTTAGATAAATGGCCATTAAACAACCACAGCAACATATTTATTGCTGTCTTCTTGTTCCAATGACGGACAGAAAAGGGTGACGTGTGTGGAGATGAGTGGACATGCCACTGCAGCGGGGAACTAACATGCTAGACATGCTAAAATGTTAGGGCTAAAGCACTGGGCATGAACTAACACGTTAGCCACAACGCAGCGACGCAATAGCATACATTATGGTATGATGCATTGTACTGCTAATTTGCTACACCAAAACAGGGCAAAAATGTGAATGACCTTTCTGCCCCCCAGAAGGCGGATATAATTTGACTAAACATGCCATGTGATTAGAGATGCACAGCTATTTTAACACAGTCTCAAAACGTGTGTTTTAGTGATGCTAATAAGGCCATGTCTTACATATTCACTAATCATGGAATGATATCCTGAAGTTTGCACCATCAAGACATTTGACTTTGACTCTGTGTACTAAAATTAGAGGGGACAGTATGAGTGAGGGTATGACAATACTACTGATGACAGAAAACATCCTATCCCAATGTTCCACTGACCCAGGCGACGTGCCCCACATTCCTGCCAGCCAGTGATAAGAGGGGTTTCTCTTGATAAGAGCTACGACAGGCCCTCTATAATTCTACTCAGTAACTAATTAACTAGTTTCTCATGGTCTGGGTCAGGTGGGTAGAGCAGGGAAAACACAAAAATGTCCAGAGGACGCGGTCATCAAGACTGGGATGATTAGTGAGCCCTCTTTGCAGGCATACAATACATCTCATGGTGCTTTGAGAGTATGTGCGTGTGTGCAAATACTAGATATTTAATCAGGCCTGAAATTTTGGCCCAAACTCGAACACAGCCGAAGAATCTTCTGTCTGAGCAGTGGGGTCCTGTTGCATTTAGACCAATATTTCAAGCTCTACTACCCACAGGTCACAGCCTGCTCCTGGTGTATGAACAACTGCTGAGAAAGCAGCCAGATTATGTTTCCATAAATTCAAATTTCTTCAGAGCCAACAGCAATACAGTTTCAGGCCTTATCAATACGCTGGTTTTTACAAATTTATAACAGACTGACATTCAGAAAAAACACATTCTTGCTCATCGGTATGGGTGCAATTTTTAATTATTTTTATTTATTTGTGTTAAAAACATCTTGATTATACCCAGCACTAATTATATGCTACTAGGGGTGTAATGACACACATTTTCAAGTTTGATACTGGTTCAAGATTTGATTTTTGTTAAAAATAAGCACTCCCTGGCACTCTACTCAGACAGGTTGCATCCAGATGGCTAGTTTTGGTCACTCTCAGTAGTTTCAGCAAAAGACGGTACAAAAGACGCTTGGAAGAGAGTGAGACACGTAATGGTCGCACAAGTTTACATTTCAATGCACTATTATGAATGTTATTTTTTCATTTTTTGACACTGCATTGAAATTGTTAAACTCTTACTCATCAGTTAGAGGATCCTAACAGGAACATGCTGATTTATCAATAAAATATCCAACTATAAACAGAGCTCCTCTTTACCTGTCGTTCCCGTTCCAGCAGCACTCGAACTTGTCAAAGATGCAGTCATTTTCATAGAGCGAGCACAGCTTACTCCTGAGGTATTCATGAACCTGGAGGTAAAGAGAGCAGAGCGTCAAGAAGTCAAACGTAATACAATTTTTGTATAGCAATACCTTATTAACGACTACCTTTGTACACCAGAGCTGCACAATGTACTACTTTCACCACAACGTTTCAATACTGAAGTAGAAGTCAGCAATGTGTAAATAGGTCTCCAACCAAACACAGGATGACCAACTTTGTCCAGGTTTTGGATGAATCAAGGCACAAACATGAACCAACAAACCAATACTCAAAAATTATTCATGCTAATCTTTAAACACATCACATAAAGTGTTCACTTAATGTATTTGTCAAAACAAAATAGTAGCCATGTCCTTACAATCATATCAATGATACAAATTTCTGATGTTATCAAAAATTTTATACTTATGTTACCAACTGAATTATTTCAACATCACCAAATATTGAACAATCCTGTGTCAATACCATATTTCAACGCCCAAGTAATCTGCCTTATCAGCGACATTGAGCCAAGAAGGATTTGACTGGCTGACGAGCTTGTTACGTCAACAGTCTGTTGGACAAACACAAACAGCAGAAGTGTCTCTGAGCACCCCCACTTTACAGGTTTTAAAATCTGACATGGCGAAGTATGGCACTGTGCCTGGAACATTTTTCTATTTCTTTTTGCAAAACTGCATTAATACTCTGTGTGTGTGTATATATGGAAGTGTGTGTGTATATATATATATATATACATACATAAAAACCATGACAATATTACAGCTCTCATTACTATGAGAACTGGCACCTTTTCTTTCTAAAGTGTTAGTGTTAATATAGGAAATGTTTATCCAGATATGTGTTTGATTCCTTTTTATTTTTCCAATAATCCCAATATTTACCGAAAATACCTAAAATATTACAAAAGTGATTTTTCCCTGCAGTGTCATCCAGCCTATAATAAACCTTAGTATACATTATTGGCAATGCCTCTAACTCATGTGGTTACATCTAGCCTGGCATTTCACAACCCAGCATCTGGCACTGCTTCTGCTCCACACTGCTGGTGCTGACTCTGTCCTAACACACCTAATTTGACTCATGAGCCAAACACCAACTCCTTTATAAGCTGCATCAGGTCTTTAAATGCAGAAAAACACTTAACTTCCATGTTCATGTACTGTCTAAGGCCAAGCAGTGCCCTCTAGTGGTTCAGATGGTGCTGGTACACAAAAAGACTATAAAGTAGAAATGTAAAGTTTCACATAAAACACTAGAACACTTCACATTCCTAATCAGTAACACTGAGCATATCACCTCTCCATTGAGTGGACTCATCACGTCATTTTACCATGACACTGATAGGCTATCAGTGCCAAACCCTTTAACAGCTTTACAAAGTAAACAAAGCCACTCAAATATCATTTGACGTTAACAGCAAATCAGCTCAGTCAGGTATGCAAACATTGTGTTAAATACAACCAACGTATCCAATTGAACGCAAGCACAAAAAACAACAAAACAAAGGGCTGCTATTTTAAACATGTTCAGCAGTCTCCAGGAACACCCTGACTTGTTTATAGCCGAGTGCCACTCAGGAGACTCTTATTGAACACTGAGATCGTGTTTATGTAGCAGGATGTCTGCAGGCATCCTACAGTTAAATTGAATACTTTAAGACTAACTTTAAATTTAATAAAAGACCACATCTGCAGTGACTATGTACCAAATATGAAAATGCACCCCAAGATAACTCATACCCATATAGACATGCTTCTGCATAGGCTCAGAAGCAGATAACGGCAATACAGTTATTCTAAGTGCATGATTCACAATACCGGGTACATAATTCAATATTCTTATGATATTTAGAACAAAATCTGAATGAAGAAAAGTGATAACTGTATCTATGTTGTTGCACAGCTTACTATGAGAGCTGGGAGCTCATGTGCATGAGCTCATGTCCAACCTGGACTGTTGATTGGTGCTGGTCTTTTGCAAAATCTGGTGTTCAAATAATGCAACTGCATTCTCTCAATGATGCACATGGCCACATTTTTTAATCGCAATACTTCAGTGTCACTGCATTGTTACAGCCCTAGCAGGTAACAATAGTTTACTCTACACCTCTGCATCGTGTAGCCCCCCAGAACCTGTCAGACCATGCATTCTGACTAAACTTGATAGCGGAGCATCCATAAGCGTTTATGAATGGATAACCATTATCCACAGGTAAGGAAAAAAAACAGTGGCACGGTTGGAGGTAGGTGACATCACTGGTGTTGCACAACCAATTAACTTGGAAGTACTCAGAGAAACACATTTTCACTGTTTCTGGACACATCTAACTTCAGCTAAGGTACCTTATCTACACGTTAGCTACAAAGCCATGCTCTGAATATTCTCAGGCCGACTTTAACAACACATCTTGTTCAGGCAGTTGTTTTGGAGTAGCATATCACATATATACTTACAAATATGAGTAAACTCTCCACATTTTACAATACTTTTAAAACATGAAACTGCCATTCCTCTAAACTGCTGGCCTATATATTTTCTCTGTCTTCCTGTGATGGAATAAATAACCAAACAGTGATTTCAGTAACTGAATACTGGCAAGGACTTTGATTTAAAACGTAAAATATAATTTCAGACAAATTAAGACATTCATGGGACCCGCTGGCACCCTACATGAGCACTTAATTTTGCGCAGATGGATTCTTTGGAAATCTATAACACTAACAACTATATCTCAGTCTACAAAGTTGGCAGAAAATAATGCATTCAACACTCAACCATTGAATTAACTGGATTTAATTTTACACAATACCTGTCAACTTCAATTCAAACAGAAATTAATTGTACAGGTGCAATTTTACTTTTATGTAGTTGTACAATTGTTTTTTTTTTTATTTATTTATTTATTTTTTTTTTTTAAATCTTTCGTTTGCTTCACACATTCGCCTCTCCCAGAACCTACCTGGTACGTCTCCACTGGGCGGTTTTCCATGTTAAGGTCCCAGATCTTGACAGACAGGTAATCTCGGGTCATCATATAACGGCCGCTGTGGCTGAACTTCACGTCTGAGATGGAAGAGATGATTTCTGAAAAGAAAGAGCGATTGCTGGGGTCTTCTGGCTCCTCAAACACTGGCGATGGAGGGAAAGTAAGAAAAACAGTATGAGAATCAAGGAGACCAGAAACCAGCTTGGAGGGGGTAAAAAGTCTACATTTCTAAAAGTGCATATGTAAAAATACACAGTACAAAAATAATTTAACTGATCAAAACGTGGCAAATTACAGTGATATCAGAATTCACTCAATCATTTCAAAATGGTAAACAAATTGAACTGCTATGAGGTCTGAGGTTCAAACCTGTAGGTAAGATCATTTTAACAGCTAGACAGAAGGCACAGAGTGAAACTTGGTTGAACATCTACCCGTTTGCCTTGTAAAAATTTGTCCCTGCTCTGTGAATATTATTACTGTATGTGTAAGCCAGTGTGCGGTGCTACTCACATTTGGAGTGCTTGTCACAAAGTGCGGAGGCGCGCATGTCACACATACGGATAGTGCCCTTGCTGCTGCTGTAGACGAAAGTGTTGCACTGGTGAGGGTGGAACTCGGCTGCTGTGATCACCTCAGTCAGCTCCTCCATGTTGGCCGGCTTTATGTCCACGATGTCTAGCACTGGGTTAAGGAAGAGATACAGCTTCCAAAGATAGTACACTTATTCTTCGGTATGTATACTGTAACACCACAAAACCCTCTGAGGAGCACCAACACATAAAACCATCTGTTTTATTAACAACAGTGCATGATCAGTTCCAAGCTATGTAAGGTATGTAATACGTTCTAGTCAGAGTCACAAGGGGAGGAAAAGGAAAATGAGAAAAAAAAGCAGGCTGATCTTTTTGTAACAATTGGGAGAAGTCATCTCCCTCCTATGCTGTACTGATAACACAGCTACTTTACTACAATGTCTACACCCACCATAAATGTGGAGTTCTCTGTACAATGGGACATTTAGGCTGAATACTAACTAATAACCAGATATTTTGCTGACAAAAATAAAATATTTCTCACCTAATAAACAAAATAAACAAAAATAAAAAACAAAAAAAACAATCCTGAAATTAAAGGTGGCCAGAATCTCATTTATGTAAAAGGTATGTAAAAATTGTGATGATTTCCCTAGGAATGACCACTATCACCGTATGACTCGTCCAAGATTCATATTATATGTACACGACTCACCTGACTTGTCTGACTGCATTTAATTTACAGAGTTACAGTTCCTTACAGAGTTAAAGTCCCTTTTTGGCCAGAATTTTGTCAGGCTACAAACAGGTTTGGATCCTAAATTCTAAAGGCTTTCACGCATTAAGTGAATAGCGTGCGTATAGCGATAACATCTGGCACGCCAAATGCGATACTTCAGACAAACTCGCTGACCAATCACTGTCTTTGGCACGGCAACAACCAAGCTAATGGATCAGCTGTGTGCCAGCAACTGGAACTTTTTTTTTTCTCCCAAACGTCAGGAGGCTTAGTTTCTTTTCTGCTTCCTTATGGATGGCATTAGCATCTCCACAAGCAGCAGAAAATGAGCTCAAATTGGACTGTGGACATCAGAGATGTTTGTGGAAGCACTCAAAGTTTCAGCTGCCCGATGAAGTGATGCTCTTTTCATTTTCAAGTTTCCAAAATGGAAAGTAGTCAAATTTGCCTATTTCATTAAGAGCAAAGGATGCTTTTGGTACTTCAAGAAACTGTGCACTGTTTTGTTTATTTGCTATCTGTATACGACATCAGGAAGTAATGCAATATAATAAATTCATAAAATCCTGGAATTTAAAAGGTGGTCACGATCTCATTTATGAGTCTCTGAAATTAAGATGATAATCACCCTAGAAATTACGACCGGCCCCGCAAGACACATGTCTAAGATTCTCATTTAAATATGTCTCAGCTGACTTGTCCCTCTATATGCTTCAGCTCAGAATTTCAGCTCAAACTTTCAGTGAATAAAAACAAAAAAAAAAAAAAAAAAACAATCCCTTATTTGACAAAATTCTGTCAGGCTACACTGGGTTTGGAAAGAATTTTGTCAGGCTACAGCCAGTTTCTAAACTTGGTGCTGAGCGTAGGCTCAGGCTAGCACAGTTCTCACTGTTCTTGGCTCATGTATGGGTTGAGCTGAAAATTTCAGGTCTGATTAAAGCTCTAATCTTTACTCTGTCACTAGGATCAGCATAAACACAGAGGATTCTGTTCCCAATGCAGGTTTCCTACTCTGAAAATGTCCAGTTTTATGCCTCCTAAGTGGTCTGCAGGATACTGAAGCTGCGATCTGTAATCTCCAAGTGCCATAGATTGATGCGCAGGTCGTCCGCCGACAGATACGTCTCGTTGTCACTGTTGACTGAGATGGAGTTGATGTGGTAAGTGTGAGCGTTGGCAAAAACTCGCCGAGGGCTGGCTTCCACCATGAGGTCCATGGGTCTAAACACTGGCACCTACGGGACAAACAGAGGACAAAGAGTAAACACCCAGAACAAGGGGTTACACAGTATCTGGCATCATCACATAAAACTATACTTCAGCACAACCTACAACCTAATAAACAGTTATGAATGTTTTACAAAGGTTTATTTAAGAAACCTTATGAGCGTTTGAAAATTTTAAAATTTGGCAACCCTTCTTATGATTATTTAAGACCTGAAGAGATTATTTCAAATAGTCTATACAGAGTCTATAAACCCCACTCTGCCAACCAGGAGAAAGAAGAAACACCCAGACAGGGTTATCCTGTAATAAATGAATAGAGTGTCTGTAATAAATGGAAACCTCATTTCTCTACTACTTCACTATGAGAAGCAGAGATTCATGTGAGGTTTCACTATCAATGCATTAGACCTGTAGATGTAGGACAAATATGCAAAAACAGGTGTTTCCAAAAATGGGGTTTCAATTTACAAAACACAAACATTAAAAAGCTGAAGAGAAAACGGGAATCGTAAAGACCACGCAAGACCTAGTAAACATACTGACAAAAAAGGAAATTGGCAAATTAAGTCCAGACCTCAGTATTACTCTGACCATGAGAAGCAGAAAATGCAAACAATGTCTAAGACTAAACTTTCAAATTGTGGAAAAATAAACCCGCAGATTTTTGCAGGAATCCTATTTCCCAAAAAGAATAGAAGCTGTAATAAAAAATAGATAGTGGACACAGTAAATACTGAAAATGTTAAAATGCTATTTTTTAAAACGTATTACTGCTACTGAAAAAAATTAACTAGTACTTAGTGGCCCTTTTGGACTGAAATTTAAATACACAAAACAGCAGACATTGACTTTTGCACAGTACTGTTTCATAGCTAACTGTTACTTTAATTAAGTAAGGCACCAGGCATGTTTCATGATTTTTAATTTTAATGTTAACTCAAGGAATAAACAAATAACCTAAGCTAAGGCAGCCAAGACCTAACATTAACATTCTCTCACTGTTTCTTGATTAGCCATATCAGCTGTTTTGGGACTATGATATTTTACTTACTGAGCCTTACTAAAAAATCAGTTTAGGGCCCAGATGTTCGAGCACATACCCGTAGAGTTGTGATGGTGGTCGAATCCCTGCAGCGTCCATCTTCCTCTTTAAGATTGTAGCCCTCTGGTCTCTTATCACGTTCACTTATCTTCCATAATTTTATAGTTTTATCTGTCAATCACAATACAACATAGTCAAATGACTTGCAAGCATGAACAGCTGGTCTGATGAGTATCAGACTCTATTACAAATACAAAAATACAATTTAACATTCCTTTTCAAATTAGGCTGCTAATTGTTGCGCAGACGTTTAGACACAAAAGGTGTTAGCCGGTATGAAGGGAATAATGGTCTAGAGATGAAAGTAAAAACAAAGGCACCATTAACCATTATTATTTAGGCCAAAATAAAAATAAGAGCCAAAGTGTGTTACAAAACGCCCTGCATGCAGAGTGGAGAAAGAACGATCGTGATTTCATTTTTGCCAGTTTGATCACATTCTACTCCTCCTCAGTGAAATAGGCTCTTGTGTATAAATGGCTGCCTCCTGGCTGTGAGAGAAAGGGTTAGCAATGGATGAGCTGCAATCCAGCGTTCCAAAATGCCCTCATAAATATGAAGCGGTTGTATAACACATGAGGGATCATATTTTTAGACAGAGAGCAGACAGCTCTGGTGAGTCACAGGCAAAAATCACTCTGATTTGGAGGATTTGCTGCAACTGGGTTCTCTCAACGGGAGGCAATCTCAGGTGCATTTACTCCCCCAGTGATTAGCCGTACACTGTTCTTAAAGCGGCAAACACACTGATTACTGGGGCTCAGACTTTGGCCTAACTGATGTCAGACAGCCAGTAAAATACTACGTGAAACTAAAGCTCACACATATTTACTGGTGTTCATGAAAAGCCCACAGACAAACTGCTGTAAAGTTGCTAAGTTTTGTAATCGTAATAAGGCAATACAGGCAGAACTTGAAAACTCGAAAACAAAACTATTTCAGGGGAAAATAATCTGAACCATCATATTTAATAGTTCCAACCAATATGAAAATCTTGTGGCTAAAAAATTCTGATAAATGATAATATTGGCTGATACGGATTCACATATATTTTAGAATAATTAAAACCACTGAAACATAAAAAAAAACAAAAAAAAACCCATCTCTTTACCATCACATGAATCAGTTCTTAATTAAACTCAAATAAAGAGTCAAAACTCAGTGTTACATAATATAAACATTGTAACACTGAGGGTGGAGCTACCTAAAATTTTCTGCGGTTTTGGTTTCTGTTGATTACCATTTATTGTTCATTTGTTCTCTTCATGTACAGAATTGCAATCGAGTTAAAAACCCAAGAAAGTTTTTGAGTGCGTCATGGGTCACGTATCAGCTGATGCTGACAATGCCGTGGGTGAATATCGGCCAATTTTACAGGCCAATGAATACAGCCAGGCTCTTTTTGATAACTCCATCTTATCATTAAGTAAAGCTCTGCTTTCATTTTGGAGCATATAAACAATATAACCCATATGATTATATTATCTTAAGTTTCAGCTACTTACAACAGGTATCAGTTAATGTGTATCAGTCCTGTCATAAATATTACACTCTAAACACTACAGTGTGCTTGCACTAACCATTTGTGGACAACAAAAACTGTGCTGCATTTTTCTGTGGCAGCCAGCGGATTTTGTTGATCTTCTCCTCGATCTCTAAGCTCTTCAGGTAGTCAAACTCGGGCTCGTGGCTCTGAAACGTGCTGTAAACATTGTACTCGCTGCGACACTGTGGCTGACTCTTGTTCTGCGGGGAGAAAGTATAAAGACACGGAGCACAAGGATTTAAAAAAAAATGCACAAATTAACTTTTAGGTGTCTTTTCAACTTTATTATTGTACAATCAAATTGTCTACTATAATATTTATGCATTAATTTGTGGCGAAAAAGTAATTCTTAGGTTATGCTCATTCTAAATGTAAAAAAGCACTTTTATTGTCTATTTTATTGCCTTTCCATTCTACTGAACAAACAGTTTCTACAGTCACATTTATGCATTCAGGGTACTTTTAAAACTTAAATAATTTGTTATAAAATTTGAGAGGTCATAAAATGAAGATGACTTCATGATCCTAAAGAATCTTAACCAAATTAAATCAAAGAAGAAAAAGATGGCTTTGGATGTGGAAGGAAGATGGAAAATGAGTGCTGGTGTGCAAAGATGTTTCAGCACCGGCTCAGAGTAGCGAGTACCTCAGTGTCTTGCTGGAAGATGACGACCCGACCGCCTTTGTCTCCTGTGGCCAACAGTTCCCCTGAGTGGTTGAACTCCACAGTAGATATGATGTCAGCTGTTGGAGATACAGACAAACATGCTTGTCCAATTTCTTTCATCCTTTTAAGCCAAACAGAGAAAGAAAGGACAGTTGATCCTTTTTGAGAAATCCTGGCTTCTAGCCAGAAACACACAGATGGAAGTGTTCACATTAATCAGAGGACTCTGTCAAACAGATACAGCAACAGGAGGATATCCACAGCCCCTTATGAACTAGTGCTGTATGCATGAGTTTAATGCTATTTTAATACTAAAGCATAGTAAACAATTTTACAACATTCAATATTCTCAATTACGCATAGAGTAAAGCCTTACATTGCACAGGTTACAAAATGAAGACATTACAACTGTCTTCATCTCACTGTTAACTGCTGAACATGCTAAATAAGGCCATGTTTGCACTACTTAGTATTTAACATTTGAAGCCTCCATTTATTCATGTCCAGTTCCACCTGTTAGCTAGGTCAATCACACAGTGCTATCAAGCTAAGTGTGAAGGCTAGCATTTTCAATTTTCAGCTTTTTTCCATTTCCCCTTTTCCTTTCATGAAAAAGGGAAAAACAATGGAAAGAAATGATAATATCCCATTCTAAACTCATTTCATTGACACGCGCAAGGAAAGATACAGGGATTTGAACTAGCCCTGGATGATATCTAAATATAATTAGCACAATATTTTCTCATAAAAAAAATCTTATCATAATAATCAATAATATTTTTACTGCAGCTAATCGCTCTGAGGCAAGCTGAAGTTCCAAAACACAGACAGACATTCATTTTCAATTCTATTCACATAGTAAATTAAGGGGAATCTGTGCAGTAAAGCTAGCACCGCAGTGCACAGCAGAGAGAAATAACAATGTGCCTGTGATTACAGCTACAATGATGCCCTAGAAGGTGTTCTAATAATAATAATGAAATTAAATTCTACAGTTAAATATTTTAGGATTGTAAGAATGTGTATTTCTTGTTTATTGATTACCTTTACATTAATTTATCCAGAGAATTAGATTATCCACTTTTTAATCACTGTGTGGATTCCTATGTTGACAGACTTGGCTGATAGCTAACATTAGCTAGTTAGCTTTTATCCAGGTGGTTAACCAGGTCTACTAGCTAAGAGGCTTTGACTATACATGGGAGCTAAACATGGGAAAGTCAATCACTATTGTCAATTTCAAAAATGTCACTGTACGCATCACACAACATAAATGTGTAGCTGTCTTGCATCTTTGATGAAAAAATATTCATTAGCAAGAAAGCTAAATTAGATAAAATTAGCTAACGTTAAGCTGCACATTTTGCTACATTTTCGTTGCTGTTACTGTTATTTAAAAATAAAAGAACTCTTGTACTGGGTGTCACTATAGTCCATCAGTGTTATGTGATGTCTAAGATCACACCAAATAAAGTGTAATTCCTAAATTGCGGTAAAACAAACAAAACTGAGGGAAACAAACAAAATATAAAAAACGTAGAGATCATTTTATAAGTGTTGGACTGAAGCAGAAGTATGAAGATGTATAATATAACAATATATATATATATATAACATTTTGAATAAGAGACAAAAATACTGTGCAGGGCCTTTAAGATTGATGATCTAAATTTGAATTTTCTGATACTCCATAGCATAAATTCCACTGGTACAAAATAAAAGTAATGAATTTTAATACCCATCCCTAGTCGTGACAATCTTGCACAGTGAACAGACGACTTCAGAGGAACACACACCACACTCACAGCCCCACACTGCTCTAATCTTGTCCTTACCACACTACAAGACATGTGGCTAAGACAGCAGCCTTGCAGCCTCAGTCTCGGTGTTGGACACAGAGCGAGATGGAGGGTGACTCACACAGATTTAACCCCTAGCTGGCCAGTGGAGCAGAAGAACAATACAGCAGAAAGACTGCAGCAGGGAGCTTTTGTGTAGGCCTGAGCTCCCTGGGGCCTCTGTATGCATGTGTGTGAGTGAAAGAGTGGGAGGAAAGAAGATAGAGATGGATAGAGTGTAAGGCTGGAGGGGGCACTGCATCAGGCCACAAGTTCATAAATGAATAGGACATTTCTCTTTTCAAATCAGGAATAATAGACACAAAGACTTAAACACAGCATATATACATACAAAGTGCTTGGACAGGGGGGATGGGAAGGACACTGGGCCTAGACCACGCAAAAGGGGCTATGAGCGAGAGAGCAGACCTCACTATACTGAGCAAAAGTCTCTTTGGGATAGTTTGGGTTTTTGCCATAAATACTGCCATATTAAAGTGCAAAAAAATAAATAAATAAATAAAAATAAAAGGTGCCCAGATAATCACTTTTATTTGAGAGTAGTTTATCACTAGCTTTGGAAAGAGAAGGAATCAAAGCAGGAGTTTTCTCCCTAATTTTAGTCAATTTACACCAGTAAGCTAGGCTTTACCACTACACAGTGCCACCAAGCTGGAGGGATCAGGGTGTGGTGGGAAAATACTTAAATTTAAGTCAAATAAAATCGAGAAGTAAGTTCACACGCAACATAGCGCACAGCATCGGGCAGACATGGTACCATGAGGTGCAGTGGATACATACACTACAAGGGTAACCACGTCCTTGAAGGAATTTCATCGGACAGCTCAATTCAGCCAAGAGCTGGCTAGCATCACACTGAGTAACGAGGGGAGAGGAAGGGCCATCCTACTCACCCAGAGAGAAATACACTCTTTTGGCATTTTTCCACTAAACAGTGAGGCGCAGTACAGTTACAAATCCATCATCATGCATTTTGTCATCACTTCCAACCGCATCATACCTCAGTAGCTGTGCTAAATTTGGGCACCCTTTGTGACAGGGTATCAAGTGTGCCAAGTAGGAACACATGGGTGGAGCCTGTAACAGAGCAATCCAATAAATGGTGAAAAAGAATCGTTATGTGGGGTCACTGGAGTCAGACAACTGCTGCTAATAAAAATTACATAAATGTGTCTGTGACTCATATATTACCAAACACAATGTAAGAGAATCAGAACCTGAAGCTCCCCCATTGTCGCAACAGTTGTTTGAGATTGCTGTTAATATATTTGTGTGATAAATGATGTGACCACACAAACTAAAGAGAACCACAATGGTTTTGTTACACAATGGGAAACATACACAGGTACTCAGCCAGGGTATTGAAAGGTCTGGGTTTGGGATTGTGACTGCATCGTGCTGCCCAATGGAAAAACACCACTAGACTCCCAGCCACAAATGGCTGTGGCATCGCTGGAGATGGCCACTGAACTGGTAATCTCCCAGTGATGTGGCCAATGCTTTCCATTTTGCAATTATTTCACTGGATACAGTGACAAAGTGTGGAAATAAGAATATGACTTGCGCCTTGTGTGCAGATTTTTACCTAATTACACAGTGGATGGATATTAAGCCAAATGAAAAACCTAGTAGGCTGCTTTAATCCACAACTAGCTACTTAACTAACCAAAAAAATTCACACATTCATACATTTGTCCTTTAAAAGTGCAAGTACTAGGGCAAATTCTGTTTACAGTGTAATAAATCAAACATAAATAAACCACTTTCATGCCCACTCATCTCGATCTGAGTGCATAAAAGTGCTCATCCGTAAACAAAACAATCTTCGGTTTCTTCAGATTGAAGTCTTGACCAAAAATTATACGCTTTTGGTATTTAAGTAGTTACAAAACTAGAAAAGAAACTAAATATGAATAAAGCTTTATTTGTACATTTCACATTTTAAATTGCTAAAAATAAAATCTCCTGAATTCCAATCAGTGAGCACAAAAACGGCCCTTTAGAAAAGGTCATTTCATACCTTGCCTCTAGTGAGCAAAACATGTATATATAGGATGCTACAATAGATGTAAATAGTATAGCACAGCTCCATAGATGTAAGACCTGATCTCTGTGACATTCTTCAAAACACAAAGAGCTCAGCGGTGCCTTAAAGTACAGCATGGCACCATCCCTGTGCACTGTCGTATGCATACAAGCAGCCTTGCGCTGAAGAGAGAAGAATGTCAGGTCTTTTATCTGAGGCCTTGGCACAGTACTCTAGAACAAAGAACAGAAGTTGTGCCTGAAAAAACTGCAGGCTGCACAGTGTACCATTAGCAGTGATACTGGCATTTGCAATATTCATACTGCAGAAGGCTGCAATATGCATATGATTCTCTGTGTGCTGTGAGCATCCTGACCAACTTCAGGTGATCCAGTTTCTGTGGGTGTTTTAAATGAATCAAGGCATTCACACAGCCCAACAAACAAAATCATGCACTGATCACTGACTATGTCATATCAAGGATTCAGTATCTTTTTAAGGAAAAAGCATTTTCCAACCTACTCTCTATCTGCTGCATCTGTATTGTACAGCCAATTACAACAGAAAGTGACTTCTATGCAATTCCCTGAACAGAAAATCCATTGCCTCATAAACACGTACAAAAGTAACTAACAGGCTCTTGCTTGAGTTTGCTTTTGCTTCTTGGCTTCTATTTTAAGTTTGTTTTGAGCAAACAAGTTTTCTGTTTTTTGTTCTATTTTTTCCCCCAAAGTACAGGGAAACATGCCAAAATTATTGTGTGTGGTAACAGACCACATTACACAGAAGTGGCAGATAAAGATTTGGGTGAAAAAAGTATTCCTTTAATATCTTGAAAAGAATTTTTCAATACCTAGCAAAAAGGATGCACCAATATGGCAACTGTGAGCCAAAGCCAAAATATGGTGTGTGCTGATCTGCTGATGCATAAACATTTTGAGAATACAGACATTCTTACTACTTCCACCTGGATCAGCATCACAGAGAAATGTAACATTTATTTCTGTAGGGTTATACAGGCAGTAAATACATCATTGGTTTAAAAAAATACTAGTGAAATCAAAACATCAGTCCGATGTCCTATCATTTCTTAAGCAATTATCTATCATTTAGGCCTAGTGCAGGAGAGGAACAAAAAAAAACCACCAAAAAAAAGGGTCTGATTTAAGTAGAGATGATGCAAACCTTGCTAAGAACAATGTACTCTCTGAAAAAGAATAACCTGTTGGATTCTGTAATACTGGGTCACTTAAGGATCAAAGCAACAAGCTACAGCATGCGGGCTGGTGTTTGTGCTGTTAGCAAAAGTCATGCAGGATCAAAACCTTACTACCTGGAATGGTATAGAGCTGACACATGGCTACAGTAAAAGAATCAAGTTTGCCCGTGTGGGAAGAGCATTTCGAACATGATGAGGCAAGATTTCCCTGCTTTCTTCACACTTTTTTCAGACGTTCTCAACCAATCAGTTACACGTCAATTCCACAGGCATTCCTGATGCAATTAAAACTTCTCAATCCCTAGAAACCACTCAAAGGAATATTCCTATTCTGTAGCGTACCACTGATTACTGCAGAAGATAAATGATGCATATCTCTGTGTTTAGCAAAGGACCAAAAAGAAGATGAATCAAAGCAAACACATAATAGAAGCTCCTGCCTATTGGCTTCTGTTCTTTTCAAAGTTCAGGGAAATTACTGTCTGCAGTAATCGGTAATGTGCTACAGATGTGGAAGAGTGAGATTAGATTGTGAAACCCTGGATTATCCCCTTAATATGTCATATGTGGAAACAGATCTTAGCTCAAGTCAATTTTATTGTCATTCCAGTCACATATTATATTAGTACATTAAGGGTTGAGCAGGCACATACAGCTCCTCCAGCCACAGTGCATTACTGCACATCATAAGATGCTTAAATTTAAAACATTGTACAGCTTTGGAGAATGTTTCATCTGAGGGTCCACTTACCTTCAGCTACGTCATCGTCGATGGCCCCTTTTACTTGCGAGAAACACCACTGCACATCGTTGCCCCCGCCTCCGGCACCTGCAGCAATAGAGCTTGCGTTAAATTGTCACCCCAAATCACACTGCCCACTGAACCCCACCCAAAATCATCAACTCTCCAACCGCAGAGCTAAAACTAAACCCCCCACAAAATAATGTATGTTTCAAACCAGAGGACAAAAACTAACGTAGCATCACCAAAAAAACATTCTTCTCTTAGGGAGCACAATAAATATCATCATCATCAAACATTAGTTTGAAAGTCAGCCAAATTTAAACATCTGTCGATACTTATATGACTTCAATATCGTTGCTCATCCCTAATAAGAAGGTAATTATTTAAATGTGGCGAAAAATCAAAAATGAATGTTCAAAATAGTGTATTAAAATTTTAAAACTGTACTGCAATACATCTCCCTGTATCTTATTCACAGTTCTTCGCAGAAACCACTGTTAGGCCCAATCCAATTTCACCCCTTGCCCTTACCACTTAGAGAGCACCAGTATTCAAAAACATTGGTTTATTTATTAACGCATCTGATATTGATACTGTGATATATGTGGAATAAAAACAGACACTGAATTATCAACACTATCCAGTAATAATTACATCAGACTCTAAAAGTAAAGCTCCTCTTTGTTCGGATATATGCTCCAAACAAAAACCCAATTCATGCTAAGAAACTTTGCTTAAACCTGCTAAACAGTGCTCTCCGATAGAAATAAAGGGAAAAGCTGAGTCAACCAGCAAAAGAGGTAGTGAGAAGGTGGTGAAAAACCAGGATGTGTAACGGTCTCACAGAAAGGAGTCAGGATGGAAGTGAGACAGACAGAGTGGGGGTGTCCCTCACCCTGTAGTATCATGCATGTCTTTTAAAACCTGCTTACAATTAAACACATAACCGCTGTGCTTCACAACAGAAGAACCCTATGACTTCATGTCCCAAGCGTTAGGTTTAGATGGCTAAAGGAAACAGGTTGGGCAACTCCTATGTGACAGTGCATTAATCTGCACAATAAACTGGTTGGATGTGCCCATTAAACTTTTTTCAGGGGAACGGTCCTGCCCATGCCAACTTGCGACACAATGCAATCCACTTCAAATCCACAGCCAAAGCTATACAACAAACAGCTATTCATTCCTACATGCAGCTACAGTAACTGAGTCAAGAGGCCCAAACATGGATGCCACTTCCGTCAGGCTTTCGCAAAAAAAGTCAGGAAGCTCAAACAGGATTTCTTTCAGCAGCACTTAGGGAGCCATCTCACAGTGAGTGGACTACGCAGAATCTCCAACTAGGGTTTTTAACAATTTCAATGCCGTGCTTAAAAAAATGTTTGAAACAGTATATTCAAATTTAAATTTCTCTTTCTAATGGTTTCTCACACCAAATGTGAATTCAATTTGATATAAAAACCGAAACAGTAGCTTACAGTTGATGCTTAGCATCAGACTCGGCATAGATTTTGCACATATTTTAAGTGATAATTTAATTTCGGGGTCCTATACTGACAGGTCAGGTTTTTGTGTTGCCCACAATGGATAATATTTTATCATTACTGTGATACATTTTTCAGAGTATATGGTGGAAAAGTTGTAATTCTTACTTAAATCTGTGTGGTTGGGTTGGACATTTTACTGTGTTGTGAAAAATGTCAGTACACCTCAATACTCCACTCTGAGCATATTGTGGGTATCATCAGAACTTAAAGACAGACAGACAGACTCATTAAAACGAAAGAAAAATTAGAAATGAATGTGCATAATTCGTCCTGTTTAATCAGATTTAGTGCAGCACAGTACATAAAATGTTGGAAAAACAGAAGTAATGTTATGCATTCTTTTTCAGTGTTTTCAACATTGCACTGCCGGTGCACCATTCCAACTCAACAAACCTCAGAAAAACTATATATTCTGATACATATAGCGTATTGTGACATTGTCTTTTTGCCATTTACCCACCTCTAATGTGTAATTACAATTAGTGTCAATATAAAATTGGTATTAGGAGTAGGGCTGGGCAATGAGACAACATATACCACTATCATGATAAATTATTTCACAACGAATATATGCAAACAATATGCTTTTCTGAACATATCAAGTATATCGTATATAGTATCTATAGTATATAGTATTACTGCATTCAGTTTTTGATCTTTTTTTTAAGGTGTCTGTTCCAGCTTATCAGATATCTGAAAAATAAATATCATTACATATTGTGTATCGGGAAAACTTTTTAAAGTACTTATATATTTCTGCCATGTCGCCCACCTCTGGTTAGGAGACATTTTTACACAAAATCAAATTGAATTTATCTACAAATCGGAAAATCGTATCAAACCTGCATAAACACACATCCAGTTCACTCCAAGGACATTAAACTACGTTTTACACCCGTAATACATAAAAACACGTCCTAGCTTTGATACAAGTACTCTTTTATATGAACATATTGAGTATTTTTCCTGGTAGTTAGACTGGAAAAATATATCCACACTTCTCAATTTCAGGACTCCGCAAACGCCGGTTAAAGTTCATTAACGTTAGGGAGCTAACGCTAGCTAGCTTAAGCAACTAAACTACTAACTTTAACTTACAGAATGCAGGAGTTAAGGTATGTAGCTAGTTTGATGCCAAGGCAATGATAACATGAACAGAACTCGATTTAACATGTTAAATCACTTCACATAATTGTGAAACGCATGGAAAAAAAACTCACATCCACCTGCTCCGGCAAACAGCGAGGGAATTCACGCTAACGTTAGCTGGCTAATGTTAGTTAACATACTCAGCTAATGTTAACGTTAGCTCGTCAAATAACGACAAGAAACTGCTGTTCGTTTATCGTACGTTAAAATTCGACAACTAACGGTAAGACAAAGACTACAAAAGCACAAAAGCATGTACCGTTTTATCTGTTTTAGGCGAACTCCGAGCAAAAAATCTTTGACTGGAAAGGAGGGAAAAAAATCAGGCAGGACGGCCGCAGTGTGGCTAAGCTAACATGCTAAGCGAAAACGCCCGTTAAACCAGCATGTTTTGGAGACTGTAATCAACTCCGTGCAAATTATATCACCGTAAACAGCTTTTAATGGTGCTGTCGGTGTGAAACACACCTTTAGACGGGCGCAGAAACGAGCTCATGTCCGGTTTTAGCACAAAGCTGAAGTCGGCTTTTTACTCGAATTTTGCCGTTCCACCTTAAAAGGTGCAGCGGCTACACTACCGGATGGCAGATTGAAACTGCTGCTTCGTTGAACGTGGAACGGGAAATTCGGAAGAAAAGGCGGCGAATAAGAAGCTGACTTCAACCTCGTCGGTTTAGCTCGCTAGCGGCTAAAGCCAGCGTTAGCATGGTTACCTGCCATGGCGAGAGGGAGCCCGGTCTCGGTCAACTTTTGGTTCTGTGTTGTTGCAAAGCGGTCCGTCTGAGACTGTGAGGATGTGGACGGTGTGAAGACGAGACCTTCGGGGCTGTTTGATTTGATCTGTTTGTCTGGTTTATTTCTGTCCGAGTCCCTGTTTAAGCCCAGCCGTGGAAACAGAGCTCATTCACTCCCTTTAGCTTTTCCTCCCACTCTCTCCTCCTGCTGTCCACATTCAAAATGGCGCAACCTCCTCCCAGCCAGCCACGCCATCCGTGTGCGCCGTTCTGTTAGGGGAGGAGGATGCGTAAGGAGTGGGGGAGGAGGAGGAGAGGAAAGGGAGGGGTAGGGTGGAGGAGAGGAAAATGAAGGAACAGTTGAAGAACAGGAGGAGGGGAAGGGGAGGGGAAGGGAAGGGGAAGGGAAGGGTAAGTTGGGGAGGGGGAGGTGTAGGATGAAAGAGAAGGGGATAAGAAGTGGGAGAAAGAGAATGTGAAGAAGGATAGATGGAGAAAAGGGAGGGGTAGGGTGGGTAGGAAGAGGAGGAAGAGAAGAAGACGTAAAGGGAGATGTAAGGTGGAGGAGAGGAAAATGAAGGATCAGTAAAAGGATGAAGAACAGGAGGAGGGAAGGAAAGGAAGGGTAAAATGAGGAGGTGGAGGATGAAGAAGAAGGAGAGAAGAAGTGGGAGAAAGAATAGGAAGAAGGATAGAAGGAGAAAATGGAGGGGTAGGATGGGTAGGAAGAGGTGGAGGAGAAAAAGGAAAGAGAGGTGTAGGATGGAAGTGAGTAAGATGGAGGAACAGTATGATGATGAAGAACAGGAGGATAATCTTATTTGAATAGTGCTTTAGTAGGGAACTTCTGGGGTCGGCCTAAAAATGCAGGTTCAATTTAGACAGGAACTTTACAGCAGGAATTAACATTTTTCTCTGTTAATCCAGGTTTAGATCCTCAGAATGTGATTAATCCAGGTTTAGATCCTCAGATTGATATTAATCCAGATTTAGTTACGCAGGCTGTGATTGATCCAGGTTTAGATCCTCAGACTGTGATTAATTTAGGTTTAGATACTCAGACTGTGATTAATCCAGATATAGATCCTCAGGCTGTGATTAATCCAGGTTTAGATCCTCAGACTGTGAGTAATCCAGGTTTAGATACACAGACTGTGATTAATCCAGGTTTAGGTACTCAGACTGTGATTAATCCAGGTTTAGATCCTCAGACTAAGAGTAATCCAAATTTAGTTACACAGACTGTGATTAATCCAGGTTTAGATCCTCAGACTGTGATTGATCCAGGTTTAGATCATCAGACTCTGATTAATCAAGGGTTTAGATCCTCAGACTGTGATTAATTTAGGTTTAGATACTCAGACTGTGATTAATCCAGGTTTAGATACACAGACTGTGATTAATCCAGGTTTAGATCCTCAGACTGTGATTGATCCAGGTTTAGATCCTCAGACTCTGATTAATCAAGGGTTTAGATCCTCAGACTCTGATTAATTTAGGTTTAGATACTCAGACTAAGAGTAATCCAGGTTTAGATACTCAGACTGTGATTAATCCAGGTTTAGATACACAGACTGTGATTAATCCAGGTTTAGATCATCAGACTGTGATTAATCCAGGGTTTAGATACCCAGGCTATGATTAATGCAGGTTTAGATCCTCACACTTTGATTCATTCAGGTTAAGATCCTCAGACTGTGATTAATCAAGGGTTTAGATACTCAGACTGATTAATCCAGATTTAGATACTCAGACTGATTAATCCAGATTTAGATACAGACTGTGATTAATCCAGTTTTAGATCCTTAGACAGTGATTAATCCAGGTTTAGATACAGACTTTGATTAATCCAGGTTTAGATCCTCAGACTGTGATTAATCCAGATTTAGATCCTCAGTCCGTGATATATCCACGTTTAGATACTCAGAATGTGGTTAATCCTTATGCATGCACAGGAAGGAGTGAAGATGGACAGCCAAACTACACAATCACAAATTGGATTTGTTTTTTTGTACCTGGTGTTGTAGACCAAAAGTTCAGATTTCAAGTTAAAAGTGACCAAATCTGATTTTTGCAGTCAGTCTGTAGTTGCCTTTGCTTGCATATCCACTCTGGTTGCTGTAGTAACCACGCACATGTGCATATGCTGACCAGGCAAGGGCAAAACTAGGTAAACCTAACAACAATAACTGGCGAATGGAACAATCACGCTATATTTCACAACATTTCACTTTTTATTAACTACAACATGAACAGAACATGACATCTGTGAAGGTTGACTTGATCACCAAACTAATCAGAGACAGGCTTTAAGTTCAAATCTTTTAATGATGCAGTCACAGTGAACTACAGCACATAAAGTAAAATATGTTACCCAAATGTCTGTTTAACCACGGCCCTAGCTGGATCAAGTGGTTGAAGAAGATGAAGAAGAAGATGTCTGTTAAAAGCTTGTGTTCTCCGTTGTAAGCTATAGGACATAGCATAGGACATGAACTGCCGTGGCCTGAATGACAGAAAAACACACAAATCCAATCTGACTGGTCAAACTGAGTCACATATCTAGAAATATGATTTGAATTAGCTTTGAAACCACCTGCAAATGTGGCTTGAATCCAATTTTTGCTGTTTAGACTGAATCTGTCCTGCTCAATTTTTTTGGATATGCCAAAAAAATGGTATTGTGCTGCCTGTCTAAACAAGGCCTTAGTTAGACTTTGTTTTTAGTTAGCCTTTAATATTATTACATATCAGCTAGCAAGATGGGGAGATACCCCCAAAAAACTGCCTCCCCATTAGGCTAGAAGAAGAAGAATAGGACAACTATTGCAAACAGACCTGAGGCAGCATTCCCCAACATTTTTTTGTTTAATTTTTTTATTAAATTGAGTCCCTGCAGTGTCCCAAAGCACTGCAGCAAAGAATGGACTATGCATTGATTGAGACTATTATTCTCTTTATGTTGGACAGTTTGGTAATTCACTTTTTTTTTCTTATTTTATTCACGGTGTTAAATGATGTAGGGACTTGAGTCTTCCAGGTGGATGAAAACGTATTAAGAGGACTGAGCTACTTTTAATGCATTGAATATTTTTCAGATACCTGTGTTGTTTCTTGGTACATAATGTCTTTGACTCAGCATCCTAACTAGATTTCAAACTTATAAACACTTAATAGTGTAAATCTTATACATTGTGGTCTCATACCCTGTAGAGATGCGCTGATATGGCATTGCGGATATCCAGGCCTCAAACTTATAATTTACGGCACATTGCAGCTACTTGTATCAAGAGGCGGTGCAATCGTGTTTCTGAGGAAACCAAAAGTAGTGTTAAGACTTTTTCAAAGGCAGCCAAAAATATGAGCTTTGTTGCCCAAGCAGAGTTTCAAACATTAGTCTCCAGTATACAAGACTACAACGTAATCAGCTATACTATCTAATTGCCACACTGTCAGAATTGTATTAAAGAGCTCCACAGAGCTGCGCATAATTACATGTTCTTATAATAACAATAACAAGCACTTGGTTTTAATTTGCACCCTTTCCTGCCAAAAATGACCACATTGTGCAATGTGATCCTAGATTATGTCTGCTTTACTGATGCCATTTCCAACGCATCTATAACAGGTCAGAGCTGCTGAGAGGAAATCTCCACAGTCTTCGATATTCCACCAGAGGGGGCTGAAAGGAATGGCAATATAAAAGACATTTATTATACATGCCCACCAAGACGGTACAGTCTGAGGGACTGAACCCCCCCCAGAGTATTTTTCGTGTACATATCTTTTGATGCTGACACATAAACATTTATAAAAGGTACATCTACCTGGATTAGCATTATGGAGATGTATAACATTTATTTCTAAGAAATACAGTAAAATTAATAAAATTCAGCACAATAGACTGCTCTTCAATACATACATCATCAAATATCAGTTTTAAATATCAGTCATATCTAAACATCTTCCAATATTTGCTAATTTTTTAGCAAATAGTGTATTAGTGTAGTGTATATTTTCATTGGATAAGCAGTGTGTTGTTAGGTCTTCTTTGCAGAGATTGTGGGGACGGTGCACTGTAAAGGAAGGGCACCGGACACACTGTGTAGCGTCACCTAGCAGAGTGCTGCTATAGCTCACACACTGTGATGTGCTGAGAAATTGAACAGTACTTGGAGTCCCTGAGCTCTGACATGGAATGTTGGCGTGGGTGTGAGTACCTTCATTAAAAACAATAGTTTTCAATTTTTGGACACTGTGCAGTGCAATGCTGTGCGTCCAGTGCGATGCGTCACGTCCGTTGTTCAGTAGCCTTATCTCAGGCCAGGGGCACCAGAGGAGGGCACCAAGACAAGTTAACATTAATCATAACGGGAAGCTGAACTAGGATATAATAGGCTATGTTTAGGATAAGTGAACTGAAAGTGCTAAATTAGTCTGGTGACAGCATAGGACAGTCTGTACATTTGTTCATGTTGTTTGTTTGAGATAGCTGTTTACATACAAGTGTCAGCAGATATGCAGCAGTAAAAAATGATGTGTTGAAATCCTCTATGCTCTCTAACTTGAGTTCTGAGTAGTGGGGCAGGGCCTTCATAGGGAGTATAGTGTCAGCTTACTTACTTCTGAAAGGAACTTGCCTAATATACAAATATCAGGGAAATGAGAGGTACATTCCAGTGTGCAGATTTTAGATTCTTTATCATTCAGTAGAAACTGTGAATCTGTCAGATCGACAGTTCCACCTAATTACTTCAAACTGTGGTCCCATCTTAAAAAACAATTAAGTATTTAGACCTTGGATGATGATCTATTTAAACCCAATGCATTAATAGAGATAGTAATGAGCTAAATATGTACAAAAAGATTATTTATAAGGTACTTTCTATAAAGAGGTGTCTGTTACAAACCCTAACCACTAAATTTACACTTGCAAAAATAATACTTACATTTATTATATTTTGTTTTGTAAAAGATCTTTTTGATTTCTTTTAAAGTGAAGCTGAAAGATTTAGATTTATCATGAGTTTAATTTATAAATAAAAAAAAAACTATTAAAAAAAATGCTGTCCACTTTTTCATGTCACTACTGAAACAAAATGCTATGTCCGAAACCTGTTCTATTCTCTATATAGTGCACATTTTGTTATTCTGCCATTTTAGACACAGCTAAAGAGATGTAGCCCATATTTTAGCCCTGCATCTATATTTTAGAGCAGGAAGTGAGACTGAATCCTTGTTCCT